ATAGTAGAATGCTTCCACTTAACAAGTTCACAGAGTGACTGAAAGCAGTGTTACCACTCTATTAAAACAAACCCTTATACACTGGTTAAGAATGATGCAAAATTTCACAACCTCTCAATATGTTGATTACTTGTATGAAGTACTGCAGTCTACTACTATTACAATCATATGAACTGTAGATTTTTAAAAACACCAGATTAAGCAACTTATGCTGTTCTTAGGACAATATGTATTTTAAATCTGTTCTTCAACCTTTTCAGCCCGTTTTGACTAGATGGTCATATTCCCTAATTCACCTTCAAAGCAGCAACTAAATTAATGTCAGATAAAGCTTTTTAAAAGGGACAATTCACACTCAGTGGACATGCACACACACAAAAATATTCCTACATTCAGTCCGACTTTCCTCTAGTATTCCATACGCTTGTATCTTAATTATAGCAGAAGACTTGCAGGACTTAGTGAATCTGTACACATGACTACAGATTTTAGTCTGTTCACAAGCAGGAGATGCAGAGCCATTGAAAAAAAGATAGCAGTAGAACTGAAAAAAAAAAAAAAAACAAACCCAAAAAACCAAAGACAACAAAAAACATCTCCCTTAACCAAATTATACAGGCAGCAAGTTTTAATATATTGTAAGAGATGTAAATGAACTGCATATACAGCAGAACTTCAGCTGTGCTTTTGGTACCTAGTAGTCCACTGTGCTAATACTAACCTCCCCATCACAGGCTGAGAAAGCCATATTTGTTTATAAACCATCCAAATATTCTTCCATAGTTCACCAAACTCAGCTACCTTTTCTGGCAAAAGACACATTACAGGATGCTTTTAAATGCATTTATTCCATTTCCAGTGGCTAACAGCCAATTATTTACCACATGAACCTCAAGGGAAATGCCCGTTTCTCACTGGGTAAATAAACAGTGGACCTTCTGCAGTACTTCAGTAACCCAGTAACTTTTGAAGTAATTGAAAAAAAAAAAAATCCCAAGTTTTCAGACCATGCATCCTACTTGCTTTTGTTACACACTATACTGTGCCCTAGTACAATATAGATTTTTCTAATGCTCTACAAATAACTTTCCAAATCTTGAGGCATTTGACTTAGTTAAGCACTGAAAAATTTCAGTGTGTACGAGAGACAACAAGCTTCACATATATGGTTCCCACAGACTTCAGTTACGTCGACAAGAACAGCCAAGCATCTAAAACCTCATCAGTCTATTAGAAAATAAAGATTAAACAAGAAGACAGAAAGCCCATTTCACAAACTAAGGTCTCATTAGTTAAGCATCCCCTCAAAACCACTCTGCTAACAAACTGCCAATATAGATTCTCTATATCCCAATCTATTAATGTACTACATTACCAGAAAGAATTCTGCACCAGAGGAAGTCTATTCAACCCTATTTTTGCACACGCCACAAAACTCAAAGAGATCAGTCTTCACATTTTGAGTTTAATCCCGCAAATTCGCCCCTGCCATTAAGAGGTAGTAACGTCCCCTTTACTGCCATCAACTCAAAATGTTAACAGAAACTTCCAAATTTACTCAGTAGCTTGCCTTTGCTGCTGCTACTGCCTACTTTAGAAAAAGAACAAAATAAAACCATCACGGTCATCACAGATGCAAGTTTTTGTGCCCCATTACGGCATATCTTACCCATTTACCTCCTCTGATGGAGTGGAACAACCTACTTTCACACACAAAATGCACGTCTTGCAAAGAATCGTTCCCGTGCCACAAACAACTCTCTAAATACGTCAACAATATGCTCCTGGAGGTTCAAGAACTTTCAGTACGACTTACTGATTCCAAGCAGCAACAAAAAAGACCCCAAAACGATAAGATTGCTAGCCTCACATTTTCCCTTTGCAGGTTAAATACTGACATAGAAAGACAATATTATCGAAGTAGTTTGCCCCGAACTATACCAACTTTATTTTTCCGAAGGGTGGAGAAAGCCACGGTCTAAGCACTCTAACTCTGGACTAGGATAGAAAGTCTCTGCTTGCGGCAAGAGAAAGGTTTCAAGAGGCCGAGCGGAGACCGGAGTCGCACATTAAACAACAGAAGATGCCGAGCGGCGATGGGCGCCGTGTTCGACGGCCAAGTAACCGGAGAGGGCCGAGCGCCGCCCGCCACCGCGGGCCCGCTGGTCCCGTCGGCCCCGCGAAGGGCCGGGGCAGCGCCCAAGGCCTGCACGGGGCACCGCGGGCCCGCCCGTCGTTCCCGGGCATACACCCGGCGGGGCGGGACGGGCTCGCGCAGGCCGAGCGGTTCCACGCTCTGCTCGGCGACCTCCGCCCGCCACCACCGAGACCTGCGGGGCGCTCAGAGCCTCAGGCGGATAGCGCTGCGCCGGCCGGCCCGGCCATAAGGCAGGAGCCGCCAGGCCCGCACGCCCATGGCCGCCGGTCCCGTCCCGTCCCGTCGCAGGCGAGGGGCGCCAGCCCGGCCCAGCCTCGGTCCGCTCCCCGACCCCGTGGCCACCCCGGCCCCACTCCCGGCCGGGCCTCACCGAGAGCCGCCGCCGCCGCGCGTGTCCCGGATCGAGGCCGCGCGAGTGACCCGGATGTTCCCGCTCCCGCTGCTTTGTCTCCACTCCGGAGTTTCCCTCCCTCTCGCCTTGGCGCGGAGCGCGAAAGCGCTATTCTGTCCCTCGGCCCGATCCGTCTGTGATCCTATCGTCACGCTTTACGCATCCCCGCGACACAGGACCCAGAGGCGCCCCCAGCAATGCCTGACTATGAAGCACCAGAAAAAACTCCACACGGGGCTACCCCAAAGCCGAGCACTTCCTCCCGCCTCTCGCTCCCACCAACTCCGGCGGAAAGCTGAATCAATTTTTACCTCTGGCGCCGTGGGAGCCGCCTGCGACTTAAGAACACCTGGTCCGTCGACGGGCGCGCGTAGGTCTGGCGGGCCGCGCTCAAGCTGGGCCGAGCCCCGCCCCCTGTGCCCGGCCGAGCCCGATTGGAGGAGGGGCCGCGGCTCCGGAGGGGCCTATCAGAGCGCCGGCAGCGGCGCGGAGGGCGGGCTTCGTTCGCCTCCATCCCGCGCTACTTTCACCGACCTTCACGGGATTTAAGACCGGGGTTTTGTTTCCCATTGCTTTGTTAGTTTGGTTTATTTTTGTTGGGCTTGGTTTCCTTTCCTTTCCTTGGCGGGGTGGGGTGGGGTGGGGGTGTAGGGGTAGGGGTGTTGTTTGGGTTTCTAAGAACGCATTTTTAGTGGCAAGTAGAGTATGAATCACATTCTATTCTCATCTTGAACTTCTCTTTCTTAATGAAACTGCGGAATTTTTAGTCCAGAAACCACTGCCTAGCTATGCCTTGCACTAGTCTGTGTCAATGTCACTTGAACGATGTTCTGTGTAGTATTAAAGTTCAAAATGGTTTTCTTCAGAACTCTAGAATTAGCTATTTCAATAAATAATCACCTAGATTCCAATCAGCCCATATCAAAATATATGCTGAAGATCACTGCACCTAAGAAACCTTTCACCAGTAGCAAATGCATAAACACATACTCCCCGTGTAATTTTCCACACAACTCCAGCGGCATTACAAAAAGCAGTGGAAACTGTTATCGCCTGGCTTACAGGATCTCTCTCATGAAATTGTACCCATTCCAGTCTCTGATAATGTCACATACATATGGACTATGTGCATATGACTACCAGGCAAGATTTCAGCACACTGAAAGATGAACAGCACCTTAAAAGGTGAATCTGCAGGATCGCTTTCATCTTTCTGAAGTGAAACTTCCCACTGGAAAGGAAAACTAGTGCCAAATGAACCCTAGATGTTATAAAAGATCCAAACAGGTTGCCAATGACTTAGTCGTTTATGTCCCCTTTATAACCTGTTTTCTAGTTCAGGGTAGAACTTGTCCTTTTTGTGCTCTCATTTTCCCTAAATGGTGAAAACACCTACAGCAACAGATAATGTAGAATAGGAATTTGGGTTGAAAGTCATGCTGGCTGACTCTAAAATACCAATACTTTTAGTAGGACAGTCTGATGAAAATACAAATGCACACACTGATCACTTAATTACTGTAATTGCTGTACTTGATTTCTACAGCAGTGTTTGTTCTTAGCACTTATTTTAGTAAAATTTAAATGCAATTAAATGCAGGAAATTAGTAAAATAACACTTTCACTGATGTTGCTGGATATACAAGGAAATAATAGAATGCACTTTGCACTTAAAACCAACTAAACTGTTAAGATGAAATTCACTTCAAATGTAACTACAGCGCCTTTAGGAATTTAAAAATCATGGGTCTTAGCTTCTCAAATTCTTACTAGCAGTTCGGAAAATAAGAGCTGTCCAGTGGTCTTCTCAACACTAATACTCAATTATAAACTTTTCTATAGTTTATAGAAAGCTTCTATAGTTATAGAGAACATAGCTGTCAAATTTCCTGGATAATTTCAACAACCTGTACTTTGTACTTAAATAATTTACTTCCTTCAGCCATTTCTATCCTTGAAACTTATTATATGTTTGCCTTATTACAAAGCATCAATTTCCCTTAGCTTAGTTTTTCAAACAAAGGAAGCACTTATATTAAAAAGCAAAGAAGTGGATTCTAGAATCTCCGATGTTAGGCAGGGTGGTTTTTGAGTTGTGCGAAAGAAAAGGTAAGCAAAGTGATTGCTTAAAACTTTTTCATGTGATTATATATCCATAAAAGAGACAACTATTTCCTCCTACAATAATCAGCACGTCACAGCAACTGCAAAGGAAAATAATTTCCCAACTGGTATATATCTGAATAGACCTAACTTTTTTGTGACCAAGTCTTTGGGGCAGCAATAAAGGATACTTCTCCTTTACAAAGGAGAAAGCGTTATGCTTTGAATCACTGCACAAATATGCAATTGCATTTTACATCTGAAGTGCTAAACTAGGAATTATCACAGGATATGACACTATGAATATCAATTAGTGCATTTAGGAAAGACAGATGTAAGACATCACACTTTAAAAGGGAAAAAACAGGTTTATTCCATGCAGTTTACAATACACTAGTGTTATGAAAAGGAAGTTAAAAAAATACCCATACACATTTAGTTTGTTTGTTGTGAAAGTGATGGTTAACAGTAACCATCTTCAAATTATTTGGGAAGCCCTAGCAGATTTTTTTCCAGGGAAATTTCCCTGAATTCAGTTTCTTGTCTGTGTCTGTGCTATGAGTTTTGGTTAATTCAAATGCATTAAAACCAAATCATAACTCAATTTTTGCTGCAGTAAGAACACTTCAGACATAATGAATTGGCACAAAATAAATTGTTATTGCTAATCCACTATCCAGGAAATAACATGTTGCAAGTATGGCCACTTGGGTATAAGCACAAACAGCTGATGCACAACTAATTTTGAGACCAGTGATTCGGAGGAAAAGGTTAAAAAAAAGAACATTTGTTGAATTGGGTAGGTGATCCTAAAGAGTGCATAGGAAGTAGATTTCTCATAGCTAAGTTGAGGTAAGGATAAGGGCAGAAGCAGGTGGAAAAAGCTGCCATTTGATACTCCTTCAGTTTGGTGATCTTGTTTCAGTTCCAGTAGAGAGGTTGGTAATATTCCTTTTAAGAGTGCCTTAGCACTTGCTTCATTCTAGCAAGTACACATGAGCCAAGTTAATGTGAGTAAAGTTGTGCAATAAGCTTTTGGAAAATCTTCAAAAGTAGCAAGAATCATGTACATAACAAACACTTTTACTCTTTATTCATTTCAGATGACGCGGCCTCAAAATCACAGCAGGTCTCAGGTCAAAATTTAGGTTCAGCTTTCTAAGGTGAGGAGAGCACTGTCACAGAACCTCTTCCACTCACCCCCAAAGTAACAAAAATTTTAAAAGTTTCTCTCATTATAGTACTTATTAAGACATAACATCCTGAAGAGAACCCTCTGATGCCTCCAGAAAGCTATATTGGCAGCAGTATCTACTCACTGAACTTCTGAGAAGTTTATGCCTTGGTAGACATCACTAAAGTAAAGGTCAACTAAGTTGCAAAGAAATATTCTGTGACAATTTCCTGGGGCAGAATCTTCCCCAAAGCTTCTCTCTTGCCAGTGCTGTTCATAAATGTCATCAGGTTTCAGCAAAGGTAATAATAAAGTGGAGGGCAAATGTACTGCCTTCTCTAGTGTGCCCTTATCCAATGTGGGTAGTGAAAATCCAAGCCACATAGGAATACTTACATCTGCAATTGGTTCAGACATTCGTAAAAATTATTTGAGTCCATGAGTTGAAAGGAAAATGGACTAGTTGTTTTTTAGATATTGTATGTATCTGGAATGTCAAATTAGCCCTGGAAAGCATTTTAGCCCTTAGCATTTCTGCTCTGAAAATGGAAAGAGTTCCTTCTGACAGTCATCTAGGCAAACTGGACAATATGATCTTTTTAGCCCTTTAAAGCCGCTGTTCATTAAGAAGCCTTTAAAGACAGCTCCTGATTTTTCTTGAAACAAAAGAAAACTTGCATGACACTGAGTTCAGAGAGCCTTCCACATTTCATGATTTTTAAACTGAATATTCATACTATTTAAAGAATCAATAATTCTAGACAAAGCCCCACGTAAGATCCCAAGACTGTCCTCAAAACTGGAGACAGCTGCAGTCTAAATAACAATGAAGTAACAGGCATCACCCTTAGGCTAAAGTATTTCAAAACGGTTGTGTAAGAAAAGACACTTCTCTGATGTCCACACAGGTTTTACCCCAACTCTCTTAAGATAACAGACACTATTAAAGGCATAACAAAATTTCATCTCTTTTCAAAAGCCCCACAGTTCAAGGGCTGATTGAAAAAGTTAATTTGAAAAAATTGAAACTTTTGATGTGGCGAGAGAGAGAATAAAAACAGGAGAATGGCACTTTCTGATTTTATCACATATTAAGGGAACAAATCCCCAGACGTCAGGCTTTAATTTGACTACCATCTTCCCCAAAAAGCCCAGGACAACTTCACTCTTCTCCCAGTACTTCCCAAGGAATACATTCCAGTATATCTGGGTAACTATAATCCAGATTCTATTTAATTCCACTGAACCAGATACTATTGCATTTTTGCCCTCCAAGTTCATTTTTGTAATATTAATAAAGATTTGTAACTAATGTGTGTTAATTTGCTGCTGGGATCTCTCTACAGCTTAAACAGAGACTGATAACTCTCAACAACTTCAACAGACATTCACAGAATAGCGTTGTGTTATGAGAAGCACTTTTCTGATAACACTGTCTCCCTACTCAGCAGACTTGTTCCCTTGGTTGTATGCCTGCAACCAAGTTATCTTTTGTTTAATCTGCCAGTTTTCATTTTTCTCCTGAAAAAAATCCCAAAAATATCCCTCTCTCAGAAAAAGAGGAGATTGATTCAATTTTTGAATCTGCAGGAAATAGTCCTGTTTCTAATCAATTATAACTGTGCATTCACATTGCTAGAAATGGAGCTATACAGCTAGTGTCTAAAGAAAAGCTCAAAACAGTCAGATGGATTCACTGAGCTTCATTTTTTAAGAAATATCTTCTCCTAATGCTACAATGCAGGATGAAAGGAACTTTTACCATTACAAGAGATCTGAGTTTGAAAAAAACACAGTACATTTTCCAACTCTTATGAGTATATGATTGTGACAATGGAAACTTTAGTAAAGAATCAAAAAAAGCTTCTAAATTCAATCAAGTCTTTGACACACAATTAAATTACTTTGGGATTAAAAACATGCAATTAACTGTAATCCATGGAAATCCCACAGTAAGTAGGACAAAATCCCAGGTAACCTTTGGGCTGGGAGCAGCTGAGTCAGACTGTACGTTTGGATAGTTAATATGGACCATGTGACATTAGTGTCTTCGAGGCCTCAGAACTACTTGTTCATTGCAGAGAAATTCTGATTCACTTGCCGCTTAAAGAAGTCAAAAGCATGTAATATAAAAATGTCATCTCCAACAAAGGTAAAAATAGCCTCTGAGAAAACCTAAGGCAAACAATACGCTGTCTCCTAACTCAAAGCAAGAAATTGCTATAGCAAATTTGAACTTCTGTTTTTAAACAAGTTTTGCAAGAAGTTTGTCATGTAAATGTCTTTAAGGAATTTCATCTCTTTCCCTTCCTGCTTTATTCCTTCTGCTATGGTCTTTTCAAGCTCAGGATCTAAAGTTTTAACCTGGAATACTGTTCTGATTTAACAACAGAGGAGCTGTGTATGTCCAGAGTTAAGTCCAAGGGGTTTGCAGTACAGCTTTGCAGTTCCAGCCTGATAGGGAACCCCTCAGCTCTGCACAGTCACAGGCAATTCTCAGGTAGGTACTCTCCAAATGGCAGAAAAAGAACAAAGGAATCCAGTTTTAACAGTACAGGTACATTACTTCCTTCTTGCAAGATCTTAACAGATGAAGCAATGTTTGCAAAGCCTGGTAATGCAGATTGGACTCTAATGCAATTACCTGGTTACTGTCACTAACTTTATTTGAAACTGCAACAGTCAAACAAAAAGAAACAAAACTTATTTAGGGATAAATTCTTAATGCCTTGAAAAAAGCTGAAGAGTGTATTTCCATCTATCTGAAAGCCTTGCATGATCACAAAAATTAAAGCAATAATGACAATAGCAAGAACAGGAAAGTAGTTAGTTCAGGTGGCCTCAAACAACAATGTATTTTAAAAAAATTTACAAAGTACCTGCCCACTAAAGTTCTCTCTTTTCTTTCCTTCTTAAAATCTTCATGAGATAGTGGAAACAAAGTGCAAAAAATTATTAAACACTCATTTCCCTAAAATTAGCTACAGGAGGGATACAATGTAAACTAAACTGCAAGTAATCTCAGCATAGAAGTAGGTTTTAAAACTGAAAATATTCCAGTGGGGAAAAGCCCCCATACTTAGAAAAAAGTATACCACTCTTACACATACTCTAAATTTGTTCAGTTTGCTCAGTTTGTTACTCATGCTTTGCTGATGTCATTCAGTAAAATTTCACTTTATTAAATAGTCTGTCCTTTTTGGGTTTACTAAGAGAGGCAACAGAAATGCTGATTCAGAAGGATCACTGTAAAACTGGTATTTTAGGCATTAAAATCCACTTAGATCAATGCTGAATTACTCTGTAGAGCACATCGAGAAAACAACAAGTAACATGGTTGGCTGCAACTGGCTGCAATGAGCCGGGGAGCTCAGAGATTTTGTTTGAGCCATACTGCTTAAAAACACAGTGACTACTGCAGCAGAGGAAATGTTTTAATATACAATTAACACAGACAATTGTTATGCTTATTTTCAGATACACAAGATAATCCGTCACTATTTAGGGGATATCTCTGTGCTCAATTTCAGCTGATAAAATATGGGTACCTAAAAAAGTATAAAAGTATAAACATTTCCCCCTACACAATTACAATTTTAGTAAATTAAATTCAGTTTTAACTTCTTAAAAAAAGACAAAAATTGTATGTGTTGTGGAGGGGCCAGCAGCTTCCTGTGCAGACCACATCCAAGTCACAAAATGCATTACAAATCCTTTCAAGCATTAGGCACACGGACAAAACATTTAGCCCATTGCTTAATCTGTTTAGTAGAAATGTTTCTTACAAATTTTTTTGCCAAACTTTTATCAATGTCTAAGTCCTTTAAAAAATAAAATAATAATAAAAAAAAAGTAGACCCTGGGTGTTTGAAAATCAGGCTTTTGTGTAAAGGATTACCTACAGTATATGCATGAATTCTGAAATTACTTAGAATGAAAACTGTAATGTCTTCAGAATTTAAAACCATCTTGTAGCTTTTTCAAACTCCCTTCCACTGGTTCCATGAGTCACTGAAGCCAAGTTTTATACTGTCCATTTCGTTAAGTGTTTTAAAGATGTGCTGAAGATTTTGCTCAAAACATAGTGTGTGTCTTGTGTATTAGCCTTTATCAAGGACAAACTAACAAAGCTGCACCACATTCTGTTCAAACACTGTTCTTAACTGCATAGCTGAAACTGTATAGAAAGGTTGATTACAGGGATCCTGAATACCCAAAGTAATCAGGTTTTTCAACTGGATGAGTTTATGTTCACACTAAGGTTGATTTTAATCCAAGTCATAGAGACAGGGACTTAGGACTAGCCAGCTGTATTTCTGTAAAACCTCCAGCTCTAGAAAAATCTCTACTCTAATCCACACAGTTCAATGCTTATAAGCATTTTATAGAAGCACAAACACACATATGAGTACAAACACCTCCAAAGAAACAGAATGTTCAGTTGGTCATTTTAAGTGAATTTTGATTCCACTTTCAAGCATGTGACCAGGACTGGAGCGTAACTTTTGCAGGAGACTGTTTTAACAGAGGGAACACCAGAGGAAGGCCATTTTCTCTGAGTTTAGTTTTCCCTTTGGGTATTAAAATAAGCTATACATCCAGTCAATATATACACCCTTCAGAGAAACCTTTTCTCTGTTGTGTAACTTACACATGCTAGTTTCAGTTGTTCTCCTAGGCTGTTATTACATAATAGATTATGTCACAGAACCATAAGGAATGTGCAGTATAATACAGTCAACTGGGGCTGACACTGATTCTGAAACAACGTATGCCCAAATACTTGCGTTTCTGGGCTGTAACATTTGTGTGTGCATGTGTGTGCGTGTGTGTGTGTAAGTGTGTGTGTGTAGCACCAATTACATTGTCCTTTTAAGGTTTACAATGATTAGTAGGAAAAGGTCTCCAAACTGATCAACATTGGGTCATCCAGCACCAGACATTAAGTGCTACATGTCTCCAAGGAAAATATGAGTGCATGGTCATTTCTTTTCAAATGACCAGTGTCAATAAGCCAACAAGAGAGTACAACCATGCACTACAACCAAAACTTAACACACACTCCCACACCATCTATTCCCATTATGTAATCTTGCAATGCTTCCAGAAGTTGACACCAGCTTATAGGCAAATATGGTTGAACCCAGATCAACAGAAAATTGTCTAAATCAGATTTTTTCTTTTGCAGCCAAGCCTCTTCAGTGTGACAATTCACTGCATCTTCGAATACAAGAAAAAAATTGTCACCGTTCAATACTGTCTTCACATCCTGGAACCTCGTTCTTGCAAAATCTGAAATAGACCAATAAAAATTCTATAAATGAAAATTAGCTCAATGTCATTCCTAAAGCATGGAGATCAAAGAGCAACATAATGACTACTTTAAGTAACTGGTAATGTGTCAGGGACCTGGTTCGAGGAAATTCCTAGGATCTGTGCTTTAAAATTGAAAAGAAACAGATTGATATGTACAATGTCTACTATCAAATACCATTAAAACAGGTGTAAAACACTGCTAGGAATTGAGTATTATTAATATAAATCATTAATACATTAATAAGACTTAAGAGTTGGCAATTGCAAAAAGCCATTGCACCTCAACCTAGTTCGGAAGATCCTGAGGTCCTACGTGGTATATTAACCTTGGTACTTTACTAGGAACTGAATTTAATCTTAATTTTTCCTGTTCCAGAAAAATGTCCTTAACTTCTGAAGTTTCAGATGCAAATTGTGTTCCATAAATTAGTACTGAAAACATGAACTAGCCAATCAAAATGTGCAGAAATGTCACACTGGGTGCGCGTCGATGCAAGTTTTTAAAGGTCAAGTACAACCTGGCAAGATTTAAATCAACAACATACATTTTACTTCCAGTTTTACTATTTTTTGTCCTTTTCTGTTTCAGTTTATTTTGCCTCCTCCAGAGAAGGAAAGGATCCAAGTCTTAGGACTGACTGTCCAAGCAACTATATTTTAATGTTGCTGTTCTAAACTGAATCACAACCAGCAACAATGAGGTAAACTGTTGGGCTGCATAGTACTCTAGAACTGCATCAGCAGGCTGTAGAACCAATCATGACAAAAGGCAAACAAAGCATTAAGCAAAGCTTCAAACGTACTGAGCATAAGTACTTAAGAATGTTAATCTGTAAGTAAAAGTCTTATGATACTTCATTTTCTTTTGCTCCTTTATAATTTTCTTAGTATTGGGAAGGGCTCTTTATTTCAAAAGCTTTCAAAAGAAAGCAAAGGCACAATCCCTTGACAATGGCAGAGCTGCCCTCAAGATGGATTTTCCTTCTATTATGATCTTTGTGTAGCCTGATGTTACAACAAACACTCAGTAGCACATTCCAGCCCACAGAATCTGCCAGCACACACAAACACTTCAATCTCTGTGCTTGTAGGGTAAAGGCTGGCAGCTGATTCACACAACAGTTTCAAGTATGGTTTAAATTTTAACATCTGAGATATTTGGTTTCCTTTTAATATTGTTAAAATGGCTATTATGTCTTTCATAGTGACTGAAGTCAAGCAAGGTCTCCCCTGCCTTGCCCAAGTCCATGGGATTTTTTAAGGGCTGGAGTTCATGAAACACCCATTACCATTTGTGTAGCTCAGGGACAGTTCAGAGGCAGTGTGGTGTTAGCTCAAAAAATTAAAAATCCACTTTATCACTTGCTCACTGTACTCCCTCCTACACCTGGATCTAGCTTTGTGCATACAAAGCTCTTTTTCATTTCAAATTCAGCATTATTGTTTTGAAGTTATGAAGCCAGATGTCAGCACAACCACTTTGAAAAATTTCCAAAATACAGAAGGACGTTTTCCACTGGTCGTTATCATGCTTAAGGTACATTTTAGAAGCAAACACCTCTTATTTCATGAAGGTAATTCATGAATGCTACACATGACTATGTGTACTAAGCAAAAAGCATTCATATGAAACTGCAGGAAAGAGATAAGTGAATTCTGTGGGGAAGAACCAGGCTCCGTAAATTACTCAGCAACTGCTTGTGTAATATATGCCAAAGGGACTAGATAAACTTACAGAAGATAGTGCCACTGATACCAACTCATGGTATTACAATGTCATTGCAGCTTCCATAAAATGTTCTGGATGAAGGCTTGTAGACAAAATTCACAGACTGAGTTTTACTGGAAGGTGGGGAAATATATCAGGAGCAGATATCATAAATACTTCATACTTAAACTCCTTCCCCAAGTATTTGCTGTTGGTCAGAGCAGAGAACAAAGTGCTGGAGTAGACACCCACAATAAAGGATAGAACAGTCTGATGCAGCAAACGGACTCAGTAAGTAAAATCATATCCAACAGAGACAAAAACAAGGCTGAAACAAATACCTGTGCAACTAGAAAATAATACTGGATCTATTAATTTTGTTAATATTTATGATTTAATATGAAGTATTTAAGTTTGTTCATTCCTGGAAGAGTACTTGCAAGATTAATAGCCTTAGAACTATTTTCTGTAGCATCAGGAACACATGCAGTAAGATAAAGCTGAGCCAGATCTGGACACTGAACTTTGCACACTTTACTGAACCAGTAATCCCAACATAAAGCAGAAAATTCTATTCCATCAGGCAATATTTTAACACACTTTTCTTGATGCTTCTTCTACAACCTTCACCTCTACTGAAAGAGTAATCATAGAATCACAAGAGTGGGTTCGGTTAGAAGGGATCCTAAAGATCATCTCATTCAAACCCCTGCCATGAGTAAGGACACCTTCCACTGTCCCAGGCTGCTCCAAACCCTGTCCAACATGGCCTTGGACACTGCCAGTGATGGAGCAACCACAGCTTCTCTGGATAACCTGTGCCAGGTGTCTCACCACTTTAATGGTAAAGAATATGCTCATCATTATATCCAATCTAGAGCTAGCCTCTTTCAGTTTAAAAACCTCACCCCTTGTCCTGTCACCATGAGCCCTGGTAAAAAAGTATTTTTTCATCTTTCTCATAAGGCTTTTTAAGCATTGGAAATGCAGTAACATCGGCCCTGGGGCTCTCTTCTCCAGGCCTAACAATCCAAACTGTCTCAGCCTATCTTCACAGGAGAGGTGTTCTAGCCTGCAGGCCATTTTCGTGTCTCTCCTCTGGATCCACTCTCACAGGTCTTGCACTGGGAATCCCAGAGCTGGATGCAGCATTCCACATGGGATTTCATGAGAATACAGTTGAGGGGGAGACTCACTTCCCTCAACCTGCTGGCCATGCATCTTTTGTTGCAGTCCTGGATAACTGGCTTTCTAGTCTTCAAGTACTGCTGGCTCAAATTCAGGTTTTCACCCACCAGTATCCCCAAGTCTTCTGCAATGCTGCTGTAAATCCATAAATCACTCAGGCTGTACAGATGCTGGGGATTGTATCAACTGTAGTACAGATCTGCTGTATAGAGGATTTTCCTTATTTTCATATTTCTGTTTTATTTTCCCTATAGGTATACCAGATCCAAAGCTGGCTTAAAAATTCTAAACACTGCTGAATGAACTCTCATATTCTAGGGGCCTGACTGTGATTGTTTCTTAGGCAAGCAGAACATGAAAACTATTTCTTCCCACCCAAAATAAAGCTGCTACTGCTAGAAATTTGTTTTAAGGACTGTTTGCCTCCCAGGCACCTGAAGAATATTACATTAAATTCCAGCAAAGTGCCAGTTTACTTTGTTTCAATAAAGCTTCAGATTTGATTGATTCCTTTCAGCCATTCCTGAAGACCTGGCAAAAGGCTTTACACTACCCTAGCGGTATCTTCTGTTAGCATAATTTCAGAAAATAATGTAGTTCTTTTTCAGCCATGTGCAGTGACTTCATAGAATCACAGCATATCCTGAGCTGGAAAGGACCCACAAGAATCATTAAGTGATGATCCTGGCCTAGCACAAGACAACCTCAAAAACCACACCATGTGCCTGAGAGCATGGTCCAAACTTCAGACATAAGTGCTAAGGCTGCTTTACAGCTAAAAAGTTCAGGTGTATAGGTGAGAAGCTGAAGTTTAATCTCATGCAATGGTAAATATCTTCAATTTATACATGCTCAAGTGACCATCCACACCATACCACTGAACATTGAATGGTATGTTATCTTCTAGAAACTAGAGAGCGGAACAAGTATGAGTAGTACTTAAAGACACATTAGGAAAAGTGCCTAAGTTGTTTATTCAGATGCAGCTTTTTTTGTGCTCTTCCACTTGTGACTTTTAATGTAACTTGATCTTCAATCAGATGTCAAACTACAGCGGAAAGAATCCCTCCCCAGAGTTGTTTCCTGTGATAAATACACATTATTTACTTATATTTGCCACATCTTTACTGAAAAAATCCTTAGTTTCAAAATTATCAGTTAAGACCACCTTTGGACTAAGCTGCACTTCAATCAAGTTTGTTAAATTATTGCCAAATCGGACATTTACTGAAAATGTATACAGAGTTTGTAACACATGCCTCTACATGCGAAAACCTATCTGGCAGAAAAGATGGTGCACATAAAATAAAAAAGAAATGAATGAATTAAAAGCAATTCTGGCCTCAGAATCTACATTAAGAACTTTCTTTCTCAGCAAAGCTTTAAAGTTACTACTCACAATACAGTTTATAAAAGCAACACTAATTATTCTGTCAAAGAAGCAATATCCAGAACACAAATTCTACCTTTGCCAACCATGCAACAACTATAATCACAAACACACACACACCACCAGGACTAGCTGAAGGACAGCACTAGTGGGGGTGGGAATTGGATGGGGCAGAAAAGAATCTGGTTAAAATCCTAGGGCAGCTAGTGCTCACCATGACATTTACACTTAATCTGAGTCATTCATATCGTAATCCGTTTCTTCATCCTCACTCTGAGTGTCATGCAGCATGCAGCACGTATAGAAGAAGGAAGGGAAAAGAAGAGATTGCAAGTGAGTCAGAGCTGCAACAAAGCACATTCCACTTACACCTGAAGCATGTGGCAATGACATTTATTTACTTTTACCTGGGACCTCCACTCTTTGTATAAAAAAGTATGACAGCTGACCATTTCAAGAAGGAATGTAACAGATTTCATGACAATTTCCTCTTCCAAATATCCTGAAGTCAGCAGATAGAGGCCAACGGTCAGGTCCATAAAGTGGTTTGAAAGAGAATACTGCTTGTGGGAATACAGGTTATCTTTTGGTTGTGCCATGGCTACCAGTAAAAGCCAGCGGAACCATTTAAGATGGATTTCTTTTGTTTAGGTGTATTAGAAGGTTACACAGAAGTTGTCTACTAACTTATTATGTTACTAACTAAAAAAAGAAAATACAAGAAGAAAGTTCCTAAGAAGGAATGAAGGTGAAGCATGATTAGATGGCTATCAGAAGATACCTTTTCCCATTCTGAAAATCCAGGACTATTAACTAAAACTGAAGTACTTGTCAATGAAAAATACATAGTGGCAGGTATATGGGGATTTTTTCTCTAACTCAATCTGCTGTGAAACTAATAGGAGGAGTTTCTTATAAGTCAGTCCCAGTACATGAACATATTATTCTGTACATAAAAGTGGATGCCAGAATTTCAATCATATGAACTTCATGAAGACCAGCTCAGACGCTACCAAGGCTAGAGGATAATGCTTGCTAAGAGGGAACTATGGAGACAACATCTCCCAAAGTCAAGACTCCTGAACACAGCTGTCAGAAACCTCTCAAGAAAAAAAATTAAATTATTTTTCCTTTTTTTCCCAGTTACAACATATACCTATATACAAAAATATGATATTTTAGAAACTTAAATTCTTCAAGTATTGCCTATTAATTGCTAGGAACAGCTTAACTCTTCCAGGACAAAAGGAGGGACCCTCCAATCAAAATCAACAGTAATTCCTATTCATCACAGTGGTCAAGTGATGCTCTGCTCTCTTCTCTGAAACAATGACCAATCAGCACACTAATGAAGACAGCCTCTCTTAGCGCTACTCCATTTACACAGTGGTAATGCAGCTTCAACTAGCTTTTGGTTTTCGTCTTTAACACTTATTTTTGACCCATATTTTCTATTACATTAAGCATGCATGCAATGTAACGCTAGCAACTTCTAAAATTACCTGAAGATTTTTATGAGGCTCTAGAATTCCACATTTTATTTCAGGTAGATATCTCAGCCCTAGATTATTACCACACACCTCTAACATGTCAACTTTCAAAGTCTTCTTCAAGCATCCTGGCAAAAGCAGACCTTAACTAGGGTTTTGAAAGAGTAAGACATGGCTTACCCAGTCTCACTGTTTATCCCTAACTACATTAATCCTTTACAACTCTTGGGAAGTTTTATCTCAATAGGGATGAACATAAATTACTCATTTCACTAGGAATCCAACATACAGCTTAAGAGTATTTCTATAGTTCAAATTATAAAAATTATTCCATATGTGTAGCTGCATAAGCATGCTAAAAAGCATAGAAAGTAATGAAGTTTTATCTATTTGACGCCTCAGTACCAAGACTCAGACCCATTGTTAGCATTATTTCAAAATCAATTTCTTTGAATGTAATTTTTGAAAAAGCAAGCTTTGATGATTTAGCAATTGTTTTCAATCTACGTAAGAGAAATCAAAAGCTTTTAAGACAACTACAGGTGCATGCAGTTTGTCTGTAGTCATCTCCTGATACAAAGCTGCAATAGAATGATAAAAGCTGTTCACTATTCACGACACTGAACACACATTACAGAACCGTTCCGCCTTACGGTTAGTCAGCTCTGGTTTTACGTTTTCCTTTGTACAAATTCTGAAATACAACTGAGTGAAATACTAAGATTCTGTGCCCATTACAATCTTTTCGTAAAGTTGGTTACAAAAGGTAAACTTGGTAGAACCCTAAAAACATTAACAAGTACCCTCATTTTATAACATATTGCACACGACTGTTTTACAGAGATAGTATCTTTCGAGTTCCATTCTCGACAGTAAGATTTCTTCAGCAGAAGTCAAGCAAGAAAAAGTTTTTAACTGAACCAGTGTCATTCAAACGTATCATAAACAAAACCTAGCTTCTCAGCTGTAAAGAGCAAGTATCTGCCAATACCTGAAAAAAAAATAGGTACTGAAAAAGTACAGAGTATTGTATTTAAATAATTCAGGCATGCATAACAAAAGCATGCTGACTGTACCATTTACAGTCCCTCATACAATGGACAGGGAATCATTATTAGTCCTGAACAAGGGGGAAAAAAGGACAATGAAATAATAGTCTAGAACAGAGGTAGATCTATCACGACTTGTGAAGCCCATGCAATTCAACACCATTTCTTTAGTCCAATGTCTAGTAACTCACCTTTGCTTTTTCACTGGGTTCACTGGTTGTGCCGTAAGGAGTGTTATGCAATTCCTTTGAGACAACACACAGAAATTCAGCCTGATCTTCATTGCCATAGTTATAGGAAGAACCAATACTGACCAGCTGAAAGATGAAATTTTTAAAAAAAAGTCAATTGTATCTCCACATAAAAGAAATTCCATAAAGTCTCATGATTAGTACAAACATTCCTCACTCTTCAGACTGTAGGCTGTGCCTGAAGCATGATTCTCCACTTCAATGCAAATATGCTTTGATGCTGACAAATACATTGACAATACACACTCTGATGATAAGATACACACAGGTTTTTTTAAAACAGTTAGAGAATTAATGATTCACTGTGAAAGAAAAGACTGTGGAGGCAAGCCAGTGAAGAAATAGCCTGTTCCCTGTTTCTGTTATTTACTAGAAACCTTCCTATCCTCCAAAGTTAATTTTTAAAGTCTATATGTGGTATCTTACCGTGGCATGATTTAACACGTAAATGGCTGCATGCAGGAACCTCTTTAGCCTGAAGGGATACCCATCACTACTTATAGAATAATGGTATTTCTATTAAAACGTATTTTGAATGAACAAACACAATATTTGCATCTGACTGGAAAACAAGACACGGTATGGCAGGACATCAAGATTAACATCTGAAATTCACACATACTGCTATACAAGGAAGCTAATTAAGGAAGTGCTACAAGCAGAAGCCATGTATAATGAAATGTGACATATTTACAAGTTTCTACAGTCTCTACATTGAATGACAGATGACAATTTACTGAGAAAGAAGAATATACTCAACATTATTACTTCTTATGCAGTATGTTTATTAAATGGCAGAAATTGTCTTACCTTACACACAATACACTTACCTAATATGCTAGAAGCTTTACATGCTTGCCTGACTTTCCAAGTCAGATTCAATTCAGATGTAGCTGGTTCATTTATTTTAAAGTTTTATTTCAAAAGCACACGATAATGTGTGATCTACAAGATAATGTGTGATCTACAAGATAATGTCAGATCTACTGACACAGATCAAAGTCCTAAAAATAAAATTGTTGCACAGATACACTGTGTCAATTTGTCATTACCCAAACTATATTTAATCTATCTACCAAATCACCACATATATACAATAAGACTGCCCTATTCTGCAATCTCTACTGTACCACTTAAGTGCTCTAGAAACAGCCACATAGGAAAGGCCTAACTTATTTTTCTAGGGTAATGGCACTTAAAACACTGTAGTTATCTCTGTAAAGACAAATAGTGTACTACCATTAGTCAAGCAGAACACCAAAGAGAGTAAAAGATTTGTTAAAGCATGAAAGATGAAGTCAAGATGAAATCCTGATCCAGAGTTTGCACTTAAGGGATAAAATTATTCCTCAACAAAAACTGAAGTTAGACCAAGGTTAAAAGCAGCCTCCATATAGCACTGTCAGAAGAAAACAAAGCCTCACTGTACTTTCTAAGGAGAGGAGAGAGATGTTCAGATGTTCCTGCACTGCAGCAAGACAGCCAAGCAAGCAGTTCCAGAGATGGACAGAGCCAATATCTACCAAGAGCAGCAGGCAGTGTGTCTAAATAATGAATCAACTTGACATCAGGCCTAGGCACTGTCAAAAATTTTTGGAGCCTGATGATATTACAGTATGAGGCTCAGCCTTCCATAAGCAGTACTGCCCACCAAAATTCATCACTTTCAAATTATGTACTTTAACTACACTGAATGTGATCACCAGAAACTTTCCCTGCCTCCTCCTCTTCTAACATCACTCTAGTTCTGCAAAATATATACATAAACAGTAATGAACACAAGCTGATCAAAAATTATTGTTAAAGACATTTTTTCAACCAAAACTGTGCAATGAAGTTACAAACACCCAGGCTTTCTAGAAGCACTGATGCATATAAAGACATCTTTACTTTGAGATGTTAAATCAGCTAATCCTTCATAATGAATACTCTGCAGTCTGCACCATAAGGTATTTGTGCAATATAGAATCATGAACCCACAGAGTAACTAGTTCCTTAGTTGCACAAGATGGACTAAGAAAGTCTACTGAAAAGCTGGAAAATCAACTCAAATTTACTTTGTATATTAAGATGATTTGTTGTCTTCCCTATCAACAAACAATACGCACAGATTTTCAGAAAATAATAGCAATTAAGTTGCTTTAAATCCTACAAAGTGGTATAAAGTTTACACTATACATTATATAGCAATTATAAACCATTTCATACAAATACAGTAACTGCTTCAATTATTAAGGTAAAGGTAGGACATTAAACAACATTTTTAACCCACTCAAAGGCTAGAAAACCTCCAGAAAGTTTGCATACATATTTCAATAAAGCCACTCAAAATTCACCTTCTCTGAAGTTTGAAGAATTCAAGCATACAACTTAATTAATATACAGTTGACTGTTCTTCTTGGAAAATGGCAACAACTCATTATCAGGTAAACTACATTAACTATCAGAAGGAAAAATACTTCTTTACTTATTGACACTGTAAAGAAACAAACGACCACTCTGAAAGTAGATACCATACAAGACCCAAACATCAGCCAAATCATCAAACCTGTTTCAACCAGGCTGACAGGTCTTCAGTTGATAGCTACTAACAAATGCTTCATAATCCAACCACATAAAGAAACCCATAGCACATAAGTCTTTTTAGGAGACATGTCAGATTGAATGCTTTTAGCCAGTTGGATAGGACTATCAATTTAGCTGACTGCAAAACATCTAATGACTTTTCACCACTATTGAACAGTTGATAAAGTCATTTTTGCAGAATGAGACCCAAGTTCCTCAAAACTCCAACTCACAATACTCTCATAAGCAGTTTGATATGTGTGCAGCTAAAAATGTAGCATTTGCATAGAAGCAACTGCATGCTAGAAATGTCATTGTAGCATTCTGAAATGATCAACAAGGCTGATGGCAGAAAAAGAAACAATGGAAAATGATTGCAGATTAGAACTGAACTGTTCTGTCAGGAACTGAGATCAGAAAAATGTTTTAGCACTCCTGTTCCAAAAGTCACTTCATTGTTCCCAGTATTGGTGACAACACTTTAAAAAGGATGCTGATAAACTGGAAGACTACCCCTGTCATGTCCATCTGCCCTCACAATACCACCCCCAACCCACACCCCAAAAGAAGCCACAACACATCAGAGTAATCTGAGGTATGAAAAACAGGTCAAAGGATTTCAGGTTATTCAGACTACTGTTTCTCAGACTTTCTGAAAGGACAAACTTTTTGGTTTAAAGCCACATTTGCTTCATGTAGCTTATATTATCAAGAACTTAAGGAAGGATAAAATAACATGTTGAAATGGTAAATTCCATAGATTTGTATGCTTTTATATATACACACATATGTACGTATACGCACACATATCTATTTTTCTGCATTGGTTTATTCCTTCCATGACTTGTTTCATTACACTCCTTACTAAAGCAGTGTGATCCTATTTAAGCATCCCTGTGAGCCCCAACAGTGTCAGAACCGAGCACAGGAAAATGCCAATGCTAATTATCACAGAAAATTCATTAGATAAGGATCCATTACTGCTTGTATAAAATAAGGGTTGATGGTACTAGTAGGCTGTCAGCTACAGCTAAAAAAAGGCAGGAATGGAAAGCAGCATTACTTTTATTTTTATTAAATCAAAAGAAATATAGTTATTGCTTCATGTGCCAAGAGATCACATTTTTTCTGAAAAGAAATCATAAGAAGGAATTTCCTGTCTCATAATAAAGAAACCTTATTTTTGAAGTGAACTAATCTCATGCCTAATTGAACTGAGACACATCTCTAAACCAGACACATTTCAGTAACATGCCTATACAGATTTGCTGTATTGGTTTAATAATATTGATTCAAAATCTATATATTTACCAGACAAATCAGCAATAGTATTGCTATCTCAGATAACCACTCCAGCTTGCACAAACAGCAGCCCAGTCTTCTTCTTCTTCCTCTTCCTTCTTCCTGTGCTTACCACTGGAGTTACTCATATTAACTAACTTTCCTGCTTCACCACCAGCAATTTCCTTCTCTGTTTTGTGGTGGTCTGATTCTCAAAACCAAGTAGATTCTGTAACAATTTTTCTCAAATTATATTTTAAATATTCTTGTACTTTGAATATTACTGCTCCTATTTCAGATGTGGTGAACTCCTTGTACACTAAAAAGCTTGAAAAACCGGCCCTTTCAAAATTTTTAATTATACTATCAGCTAACAGAATCAAAGAAAATCCTCCACTCAATTTTTTTTTACAGAATCAAGCAGTATGAATCTAAGAATCAACTCTATGCCTTTTAAACATATAATGCATTTGTTCTGCCTTCCCAAAGGATTTGCAAAAGGTCATGAAGATACACATATATCAGCTCTAAAAACTCAGCACTGATGACGGACACCAGGCCTAAAAGAATATTTATTTTAGGTCTCTTAATGCAATAGTCAGACTTCAAAGCTTCATTTTTTTTACTATAATTTTTATTTTATTTTATACCTACATTAATTTCTTCACTGCCCTCCCCACCTTCCATTTCACAATGCTGTCTTTTACTTTGAGCTATCCAGGACATGAACGCATGAATAACATCATTCTGCCTGTACTCTACACATCACTAACAAGCCACGATTCTTTCTCTGTTGTCGAAAGTATGAAACACCCGCATTTCACATTCCAAATGTTACCTGTACAACTGCAAGAAACAGACAGTGCTTGGTACATTCAAAGCAGATTCTGCTATAAGGCTGGGTAACAGTCCGTGTTTCAAATCTAGAATTGCATGATTATGTGTCCATATAAAGTCACGAGCAAAGGTTTGTTTTTATTAAGCCATTTCACTATCATGTTATCTTTATAATGTTATACTCATCTTTCAGACTAATAACCATATATGTTGTAAGAAAAAGAACAAGTACTCCAGGCATTTTGTTGATGAAAAAAATTACAGAGTACCAGGTACCCAAATCAATTCACATACAACACTTTGAAATGTAGCACAGATATTTAAAGAAACAGAAACTGCCTCCAATGCTACTGAGAGCAAAAAATCCTTCCCAAACTCACAAATATTTGGAAGTAACACAGCAATCAAAAAAGCAGAACAAGAGGAAAAGGAAGGATGAAAAAAAACAGAGAATGAATGAAGGTAGGATTCTCCATTTGGATTTCAAGAAAATTTCAACATCAAAAAAAGATGGAAAAAACCCCAAAACAACAAAACAATAAGGCTAAGGAAACACCCAGCATGTTTTTCCAACTTGACACAAGATTTAAAACTGTCTATTTTGTTCTCCCCTCACTCCTCCATATTTTACTTATAAAAAACTCCTGTTACTCACTATTCAATTTTGAACATATCTCATCCACCTAAAAAAGAGTTAAGTTCTGAGTTACGAGAAATAAAGGGCTCAAACCCAGGAGTTAACTTTGGTGGATGAAATAATAATTTTCCTAGTTTACCAGAAATGGCCCCTTCTGGACCCACTGAACTCAAAGGTGTATTTTTAGGGCTCCTTACGTTTGACTTGTATCTTTTAGTTAACAAGTATGGATCAAAGGCTGTTACTTTTGGAGGAAAATTTAAGGAAAAGAAGTTATTGCAGAGGTAAGAGCTCTTCCTAAGAAAAACCTTGAACTAAATAACCGAGGGATTTCTGTTCGGTTGTTTTTCTGTTTTTACAATGTGGACATTCATAATGTGTAATGAAATATCGTGAATATAAATAAAAGCCAGTCACAAATACACACAAATTACTATGTGCTGTACATCCAGAAAAAAAGTGAATGATCTGAAAGCAGCAGAAACGCAAGGAGGCCAAGCATATCACCGTGAGGCAAAAAGAATGGTGTGACACACCTCACTGCAGCATTTCTGGAAGCATCTCTCTTCCCCTTTCACTTCCCGTGACACTATCAGCAGAAACTCTGACTGCTGAGCCCGGCCACAGCTGTACTGGGAACCTATACTGACAAGCTGAAATAACCAATCAAAGCAAAACACAAAAAGAAACCTTTGTAAAGCTGAAGTATATACCATTATCCAAATTGTACAAGTAACAGATGAGCTCAAACGTTCAGGTAACACTTACTTGCCACTAGAACAGGTTTCTATCAAGCTACAACTTTCATAAATTTTAGCTACAACCTAAAATTTATGAGGCAGTTGCAAAGCCCTTTTAAATTTAAATGGAAATTAAGAGTTACTGATAAGAAGACAGAAAACTCCCCGTATAACTGTGGAGTAGCCAACTACTCTGCAAAACAAAGTTTGGTGCGTTATAAAAGTAACCATTATTTTCCTGTCATACTTCTCCTGTCAAGGGGAGAAGGCAGCATGGATATAAGACTGGAAGGTGTTATGTAAACCAATATATAAAGCCTGGATATTAAAGAGCTTAATCTTGTTCCAACTACTGATAAAATACAGCTAAGAAAACATAATTAGTCAACAAGAGGAAAAAACGTTGAGTGGTCTAGATAAGTTTCAGAAGGAATAAGTTATAGAAGATCCAAGAAAATAACTGGAATGTAAAAAATTGTCTCGTTCCCACAAAAATCACTATCAAGAACACTGGCCAAACATCTAATAATTTAAAGTTCAACCTCAGCTAAATATCTCAACCTCTTATTACAAAACATATTTTACCTTAATAACACATGGCAATTCCTAGCCCATTTAAATTAAAGCATAGCTTGTCAGGGCACTTTAGAGAGATTAGGACTTTAATTTATATGGGAAGAGTTAGAAACAATTGCCTATTCTGAGTAAACTGGAAATTATGACAGATGAGAAAGCCCATGAACAGTAACTTTATCCTACTTTGTGTGTGAATAATTTTGAAGACAGCAGTTAAACACCATCCTCCTCATACAGTGAACATACTTATGACTGCATTATGGCACCAGACTCAGGTTACATTAATCATTAAAATTTACATGATCAACACCGCTGCTGTCTAAAGCATTTTTATTTAGCCAATTTGTATAGCCCAGTTTTTTATTCTGTTGTATTGCCAAAATACTGGTTTTTTTCTGATTGCCTGAAGAGGCAACAATTGAAGATAAAAATCCTCTACAAAATAACTCAAGAAAGCGGGGCAGCATAATCTTTAGTAATAGATTTTGTACTGGGACTAATATATAATTGTACTGTTCTGGCAGAGCTTTCAAGTGTGTTCTTTGGAAAAGGGCATCAATACATCTGCATTAGTGCACCAACAGTTCAGCACCTTCCACTCCTATTTAACAATCATATTTAACGATAAAATTTTGAAATGCTAAGTGTAAAATAGCATTTTTTTCAAAACCAACCACTTGAGTATGTTATATGTGGCGCAGAGCACAAAGACTCTTAATCTGTAAAAATATCACTCCTCTGAAAAAGCTGAAAAGCTGATGAGTCCATTTTTTTTCACATACAGAGCATGGTGGGTACCGCCCTAAACATTGCTACTGAAAGAAAGCATGTTGCTGAGCAGCATGGGCTTAGAAAAAATTACAGAAATGCTACAGTGTTTGAAGGTTTATTAACAATAAAACTGTTTATGCACAATATTCTAATCCTGCTTCAAGCGAGTACAAAGGAGGGAATGGGCTAGTGTGAGGTAATGAGATGCTAAGTATTATGAGATCATACAGCTACTGTGTTTATCTTCTTCAAACTATGTGTCTAAAAATATCCAACATGGGAGAGGGAGGAAGTAGGGAGACAGCTGGATGAAACAAGAATGTAATGTCCAAGAGAACCAATGGATTCTTCCAGTTCTAAAAGAGATTATAATAGGCCTTTCAGCAGTTGCACTGTCAAAGCAGTATTACTCCCGAATACAATATCCCCAAAGGGTTTAGGATAGGTAAAAGATATGGTGTCATTTAATCTGCTAAGAAGTAAAAGAGCCCTATTTGCAATGAAAGTTAGTTTCTCCTGACAAAGAATAATGTTGAAAAACATTTTTCCATGCACTAGCCAAAAAACAGTCGTGCATTAAGTGAGAGTTTTTTTCAGGGACTTAAATAACATTTAGCTTAAATAACATTTGGCATGGCAAACAGACCTAGTAATACTTGAAGCGGAGTACTGAAGCATAAAAAGCCTGCTCTGTATCTCTGTGCTTAGTCTATTTGCTCATGGCTGTCTCCACCTTACTAGCACCTTACATATTTTGTCAAATATAAACAAAATGTTCTCTTTCACCTTCATGTCATAAACATTTTTTAAATGTTGCTTTGTTGTGTTATTAGAGTGAGACTACACAGGGTAATGGGCTTGTGCTTATTTCCATTTCTCCTACTGTAAGCATCGGACACTGAAAAACGTGCTAGCAGATGAACACTTGTGCTTCAGAGTTAACAGATTCCTTGCTCCAATGCAGTTTAAATACTCTGCTGCACATTAGGTATGTGAAGGATAAAGCAGCTGTACAGTTCATTTCTTACTTACATAGATTATCAAAGATAACAGAGAGATCTTGCGATTTTACAGTGTGTTCCTGAATGTACACACAAAGCTATTTTTATGCACTGCAAAGAACAAGAACATTCACATAGCTCACAGCTATCAAGCTTCACATCTACACAGGTAAAGTCCACCCTCCTTTGTGTATCAGGTTTTTTTATCTGAAGAACCACTCTTTGGGCCTGGCAAACATTTATCTCCCAAGCTCAACTCTTTTACTCAGAGCTCTTCCTATCTAACCTATCATTCACATAACCTTGTATTAGTTAATTCTGCTTGATTCACCCTTCAACTGCTCATGTGTAGACACTGAAGAATTACATTTCAGATGCTGCAGATGTTTTTATAGAAAGTTAGCAAAATTTACCTCCTGGAAAGCTGAGGGGTTTTTTTTGGTGGCTTTTTTTTTTTTTTTTTTTGGTTGTTGTTGTTGTTGTTGTTGTTTTATGATAAATGCAAACACAAATATCGCATTTTAACTTTGGTGTGTATGTTTATCCAAATTCTGAAAATTACTGAATAAAAAAAGATGCATGGAATTTAATTTATATTCCTCTTTCACAAAAGGTACTTCACACTCATTTCTTAGAAGACTGTGTTAACTATATCCCATATGGATTTTTTACCTGTTCAAATTTCCAGCCATCAGACATTGTGGAAACCATTTGAGTGAGTTCCTCTTCCTGACACTGCAGCACTCTGTATACATGTTTGACTGGCACCTTTAAGAAGAAATATAAGATGCTCAACAGGGCATGGAATTCGCTATGTTTGTGACTTGTCTGAAGTTGCCCTTATTCTCTAGAAATTGTAAGCAACACCACTTTGAACCCATCAAGAGCAACGAATAACTAGGACCATTTCAGCTGAGACCTACAGTAAATGCTATCAGAGCAACCCTGCAATCCAACAACCTAGCTTCAAGAGAAATTTGTCAATAACAATGTAAGTTTGTAATATCTCCATGAATACTCAGTTACCAGGGAAGTTACCAGTTACCTGAGTAGCAGAGTTAACGAGCAAACTTTATGATATTCACTTTCATGGAGAACATGAGCCGCTATGAGAAGAGGCAACCTTCTCAATCACAGAGCAATACAAATAATGAAAGCAAATTTACTACAAAAACATATGACAGGAGCTAAACAGTATCTGTACGTTTGCAGCATAAACATACTGTATAAACAGCAGTTATACCATAGTTAGGCAACCTCATCATATTCAGAAGATTTAAAAGTCAATGACAAAGCTATGTTCTACAAAAGCTGTTCTCTAACATAACTATTTCCAGAAATAATATTATGACAAATTCTACTATTACTGAACATTTCGGAACAATTACTTAAAATGTTTTCATTTTTGAAAGCAATCTGTGAATTTTGTAAGCAGACTGGCAGGAGCCAGCAATTAAGAATATTAATCTTTGTATACTAGCGGTTCCAGATCATCCAGTGATGGAGGCAACCATTCAGTATCTTACTGGGGAAATCAGAAGTTACATAAAAAAACAAATGGAATCCACTCACTACTTGTCATAGAACAAATAATCAAAAGCACATGAGAAAACAGCCTCACCTGAGAGATTCTGCTGTCTCTTTCTCTTATTTTGTCCTTTACCAGTTTTATTAGAGATGTGATATTGTAGAATTCAGCCTCTTCCAGTACACCTAGTATGAAAACATTTTTTGCGAAGACAGTGTAACTAAAGACTCCAGGCCAAAATCACCAACCAGTTCATAAGATTATCTTCTCAACAGCTACAGAAAATTATTTATTTTTCCCTATGATAAGGCAGTTCACCAACCTAACAATTCTGGCTTCTTTCAGGTACATGTAATTCAATGTTTGGCTTGTTCTAAAAATTGTCCTAAAATATCCCAAAGAAAACTGATCCCATTTCACATACAAAATGAGACAAGAAACAAAAAAATGCGCACAGATACCGTTCCATAGCAGACTGATAAGATACCGTACCTCAGGCCCTGCCTCAGGCTGGAATGCAAAAGAGAAATTTAAATAATCCTACTGAAAAATCTCTGCAGTTGCTAGCAAGCATAAAGTTTTTCTTCCTGTCATTTGCGATCTTAAGAGTCTGAAACAAAAACTTAAAGATATATACTGCTTCTACTCACATGTTCAAGGCCTACCTGTTCTCCACACAAAGGGCACATGGAAATTATATTTCATACAATTTCCCCCTAGTATTGTTAAATTGTATCACTCTTTGATAAATTCCTTCAGTATGCTATCAATACAGTCTTATTACTATATGTTTTACAGCAGTCATCCTCCATTAGGGTAAAACTGATACAAAGTGGGAACAAGGAGGGAGAAGCTGGGGGCAGAATTCAGTCTTTAAAAGCATGTTCCACACATCTGAACATGCCAGAACCTCACTTTTAGTTTGCTTTACATCTTCTAAAGCTTGCTTCCTAGGCAGCACTCTTTTGCTTCAAGAGAACTAAACCCAAATATTTCACAGTTACACAGGAAAGATACAAGATTACACAATAAAAAGCATCTTCCCTCTTGTTTGAATATTTATGTTCCAACTGAAAATGTGGGTTGTGAAATCAGGAATTCAAAATGCTCAAATAACCCTATATACTATAACTGCATGATACCTATCAGTTTTGCATGAAACAGATAGAAATGCTACACTGGTTAAGGTTTGCCATCTTGTTCTAAGTTAATTTTGGTGACCCAAAAGAAGAGAAAATAATAAGCAAGTGGCAAGCAAACAAGATATTTAGAGACGTCTTACCTTCCTCAGCTAGGTCCTTGTTAATAACCAGTTTTCCATGTCTGAGATAGTTCAGCACTGGCCCAAAGTAGGTTGGGTCTCTGTCTATTAAATAGGCACCTGTTTCATCCTAGATTAGAAAAACAAACAAACACAAACCAAACGAACAACCCAAAACAAAGCAAGAGAACACCAAAGCCCAAACCAAACAAACCAAAAACCTCACAATGATTTGAACATCCAAGTGGGAACTGCAAGCTAATATTCATCTTGCAGCGAGCAGGTATTCAGATATAGCCAAATCCCTGAAAGCTGCATTTATTGAAGACAATACAAGGAATTAAACAATATAACTGTCATGTTATCAGACTGATCAATCAAATCATCGGACACACAACTTCTCTTATCTGATCAATCCCCCTAACTCCTTATCAATGATTAACAACATTGTTAGCGTGAAAGATCTAAGCAGTGAGAATGCCAAAAGTTATGGTTAAAAATAGCACTGAAAAATCTTGTTTGGGAGCCTGAAGAGTCAGAACAATGGCTACATTCTAGCAAGCTTCAAATACCAATTTTTCCTTTTTAATCTTCTTTTTTTTTTTTTTTAAAGGCAAACAAACCTATTTTTTTTAACCTCAACACTTTGCTCTAAAAACATTTGCCTTTGTCTTTGCTCAGATGTACAAATACTCACAGGGTACTGATAACTGCTGTGTACCAAGCAAGGGTTGTACATGCATCTTCTAAAAAAAAAAAAGTACACTGAAGATGCAATTCCTACCTATCTCATGCAGACAAGTGAAGTAATAGATGGCTAGATGAAAACTTGAAAACTAATGCTCAATTTACCAAACAGACCACAGTGTTTTGTGAATTGAGAAACATTTCAAGAAATTTATCTGCAGAGCTGATATTCTTGACAAAGAGATAAAGAAGCAAAATTGGTAATTCCTATGTTACTTAGAATCTATGGGTGAACCCCTGCAATCAAGATAGTACTGACATACTTTGTGCTGGCTGGAGATCTAAGGAAGATTCATAGAAAGATTTCTAACTGATCCACTGCTCCTATCTACTATCAAGTGGATTACTGACTGTATTAATCCATTAGTACATAAGGTTTTAGTGGAATGGATATCCTACAGATATATACTAGAGAGATGTAGCAGCACCCCAATTGCTTTTTCACTTATTCTTATTTTTAGTATTCTAGTAGTTTACAGGAGATACTCAAAAAATCATCATTACCAATAATGTGGATCATACCTTGAAAAATAATAATAAAGAAAGCACACAAAAGTCCTATAATTTTTGCTGTAATAGATTTTTAAAAAAACATTAGAAAATATCAACAGTTAAAGAACTCTGGCTAAATTCTAAGTGTGCAACCCAAATTCTGTCAACAGGATTCACGTAAGCATCTAAATTCCATGCAAAAGTTGCTTACCCAGATTACAGACATAGAAAACATGCATTAATTAACATGTCTTGAACATTGACCTGACAGCTCAGATATGCTACACACTAGCACCAGGGAGTCAAGAGCCAAGAGATAAACTGATCAGTAAAGAATATTGTAACCATATGCAAATAATGCACAGGTGAGTGACACAGAAAAATTTACTTCCTCAGCATCTTCCTATAGAAAATGCCTTATCACTCCTCCTTTTGAGTGAGCTGCCTCAATATCGTTCAGTGCATGCTAAGCACTTCATGTTGAAATCACTAAGAAAGGCCGATAACACTAGATCTTTAAGGATGTTTATGTAAACATAAATCCAGTACAAGCTGACACAGAAGCGTAGTCATCTGCTCTACCTAGAACTCTAAAAATACAGATTGTAAGTCTTTCAGAATATTATCAGGGCTGTTTTCATCCACATATACATGAAAACACACTGTATTATCACATGTAATTAGCTTTTTGACACTTTTTAATAAAAACTGTTTTATTGTGAGATAAAATAATAAATTGCAAACGTGATCCAATGTGAACTGGACAATTTAAAGAGGTAACTAGTTTGCATGCACATAACTGGCTTTAGGCTTGCTAGCTTAAGCTTAAGTATTAGTAGACTTTGATATCTCATCTATGCAATTTCCTCTGCTAACTAGTAAATTCTTTTTTCTACGAGCTTTGAGAAAGTTTGCATCATCACTGACACAACCAGTGTAGGCATTTTGAAGCCATTTCCTAAACTTCAGGTGAATACCACAAATGTCAAACAAACCTATATTCTAATAAGGTTTCAAAGTTCTCTCTCTTTCAGATGTACTTTATAGAAATAGGTGTTACTGTTTACCAGAACAGCAGCAGAAATTCAAGTTTCCTCTCTATTCAGTATAGTCACATCACCCCACACTTAGAGGTGTTTCCTGCAAATGTTGCCATTCTTCATAAGAAAATTCAAAACAAATGCATATTGTCTTTGTGCATCCAACCCTAAACTGCTAGTTAATCACAGGACTGTTTGTATCTCTACTCAATTCTACTTTTGCATTACATTCTTCTCTGAGTGCTTTTTTCTTCATTGTCTGTAAGTTCTAGGCCTTTTTCATGCATATTTACAAGGACACCATTTAGAACACAGCATTGCCTACATACAGTGAAGACTACATTTGTTTATTAACACTCTCCCACAGTAATGTTTTGTTCAAGTTACAAACATCATGGAATTTTAGAGGAAACCTAGTAACTTGCTCTTAAATTTTCAATCACCTGGTTCAGCATACCAATGAAAAGTCAGTGTAGCTCACAATTACATTCCTTTGAAAAATACTGACCAAAGCAATTAAGTGATCATGTATTCCCGTTACAAATGTTTTCACTTTGATCTCTACAGAGGCTGAGGCTCGAAGGACTCATAATGAACACTTACCCTGATCTTAGTTTAAAACACATAAAAAACTCAATTTATTTACAACCTTTAGAAAGTAGCAGCGAAACCTAACCATTCCAATAAATAATTACTGTCATTGGTAATATTATGTACTTCCTAGCAAGGACACCTATAGTCCAACACTTTGCTAGCTGTATTTCACAACACCTTTGCTAGACTGAACAGACTTCACTATTAGATTTCTTGTCTCCATGTATGTACCTCTGGACTGAAAAGTCACTCCTTAAACTCCTTGCCATAAAAAAGTTTTGTTCTTTAAAACTTTTCACCAAATCATATTTCACCTTGAGACTAGCCTTCTTACCCTTCTGTAACTTTGAATTGTGGATGCTAGATTCCAATACAGGATTCCAGAAGGACTCAAAAGGTGCACCAAATACATACACCTCTCTAATTCCATTTAATAATCTCCCCAAGAATTGCATTAAAACACTAGCTGAAATGTCATAATTTTTTTTCCAATTAATTATCTTAATTGGGATCAGCACTGGATCTGGTTACAAGACAGTGTATGGTGATGCAAGTGATGGTATGACTCAAGTCACACCATCAAGCTCTTGGTTCAAGACTCTAACACGAATATTTTAATTTTACATCATTTTAAAATTTTACATCATTTACATACTCTGAGTTCTTATAAAGGCAGCAATATGCAGAGAAACACAGCAGTACTTGGTACTAAACTTGGATTTATATATAATTGTCATCCCTATCACCTGTGCTTTTTAAATATTGAACCAGTGAATTTTTCACAAACTGCATGGCCTAAAAACTTTGAGTGTCTGCAAACCAGTGGTACTTATAAAAACTACATCAGTAACACAACCCACCTGACAGGTCAGAAATCTCATGGACAAATGAAATGTATCTGTTACTTCCTAGAATAATGACTAGAATTTAGAAATTTCCTAATGCTGACAGTCAAGGTTGCGCTAGCAGGAAGACTTGGATTTTTCTAAAACACTCAGTGCTTGCGTGCTTCCTTCTTTGACAGATTCCATGCCAACTTCAGAAAGGCATTAAAATACAAGCATGAGTACTACTGCCAAAACCTTATTATAAAAGTTTGACAATCTCCTTCTTAGAGGAAAGTTAAAAGAATGCTAGAACAGTTTGCGAACAAAAAAACTGGTACACAGCTAAAATAGGAAGATGCTGAAACAAGGACATAGATTTAAATTATTAACAGTAATGCAGCAAAAGCATTACATTAAACAATGATGACAAGGTGAGCAAGGCTCTGCTTGTCTATTTTTATGTATTCATCTCTAAACCAAGATTTAAATATCAAAAACAAATCCTATTCTGAACAGTAAATATGACCACTACAGCTCATTTATTTGCTGAAATCTGAAATGATTCTCCAACAGTTTTAAAGCTGTGAGTGACATTGTGAAACATACTAAATTCAGAGAGTCGATTTCACTATCCTCATCCATTCAACACTAGTTTGGCCACAGGGTGTGCCAAAGGTTAATCTTTCTCCCATTACAAGTGGAAACATACCAGACAGCAAGAGACAGGCTGCCCTGTCCTACTCAATGTTAGTACCTGAAGGCAGTTTAAAGGCCAACATGCTACCTTTCTTGAAGCCTCTCAGTTCTTTAAAGTAGGAAGCACTAAGGAAATCATAGAATCACAGAATATCATGAGTTGGAAGAGACCCACAAGGATGAAGTCTAACTCATGGCCCTGCACAGCACAGCCCCAACACTCCCACCATGTGCCTGAGCTTTGTCAACCTCATGGCTTGGGGCCAGGACCATTCCCTGGGAAGCCTGTTCCAGTGTTCAACCAACCTCTTTGAAAAGAAACTTTTCCTTATATCCAACACAAACCTCCCTGACACAGCTCCATGCCTTTCCCTTGGATCCTGTCAGTGGTCACACAGAACAGAGATCGATATTGCCCCTCAAGAGGAACATGCAGACAGTGATGAGCCTTGCCTCGGCCTCCTCTTCTTCAGCTGAAGAAGCCAAGTGACCTCAGCTATTTCTCCTATGCTTCCCCTTCAGAAATTTTGTGTTCCTCCTTCAGATGCTCTCTAAGAGCCTTAGATCCTTCTGATACTGTGGCACCCAAAACTGGCTACAGGACTCAAAGTGAGGCCACACCCCAAAACAGATCAGAATGGGACAATCCCCTCCTTTGCCCAGCTGGCAATGCTGGACAACAGTGCAGGACACAGCTGGCCCTCCCACTTGCCAGAGCATATGGCAGTGATTTATCTTTTAATTAGGAAACCTTAGAGGAATGTTTTCCTACTCTCTCCCAAACAAAGTTTACCTATCAGCAAGCCAGCCACCTATATTTTTAAATTTAGTTTTATAGGTAAATTTAAGCTCTGCATAAAAACTTCAACCAAAACCAAAGACAACTACAAAACAATTCCCCCACCACCACACTTCAACTTTTTTTTCTTCTAAGTCAGGAACATTACATTCCGTTCCCTATCTTAAGTGCTCAATTATCCTTTCTGGAAGTTATGCCTGAAAAAATGATGAAATCTACTAACCTCACCAAAAAAAAAAAAAAATCAAAATTTAGATATAATAAACAACTCCTTATTTTCAACCTGTTGGTTATAAGGGTATAAGCTGTTCCTTTCTTTTCCCTAACTGTAAAAAATGCTTTTTTGTCTGTAATGCTTCAAAATTTATTTCAGAGCCAGCACTATATACTTTATATCCATTACTACATACCACACCACAAATAAAATCTTAATAACTTTCTTCCCCTACTAAAAGTGAGTCAGAGTGAATACCAAAATATTCACCCACTACTTGCAATCTATGCAGAATATGCAAGTCTATGCAACACAGAGAATTCTTTTTCTCTAAGAATTGCTGAAAAGACAGAAGCTATGTCTAAGTGAGAGATTATTATCAAAAGTACTTTGCTCTGGTTCTTGTTATTGAACAAGAGAATAGTGACAGTGCAGAAATAACACAATGTCAGTGCATGCAGATATTTCATAAAAACGCTAAAACTAAACCCCGTCAAACAACATAAAAATATGACACAAACGTACAAACGATACTGTGCTGTCTGCTCTATTTACGAGCGGTTTTGTTATCCACGAACCCAACTGCTTCGCACGACATACTCATTAAGCAACACTCTTCAGGAAGACTCCCTCCACGGCAGCAGAGTCGTTCCTGCCGCCCCTCACCGCGGCGCCGGGCCGCGCGTTCCCTTCACGCCGGCGGCCGCCTAGGCAGGCGTCACAGCGGGACCAGGCACCAGCCGCAGCGCACCCTCAGCGCGGCAGGCGGGGAGCGGGCCCGGAGCGGGGAGCGGGCGCGGCGGCGGGGGGAGCGGGCCCGAAGCGGGGTGCGGGCGCGGCGGGGCCCGCGCTCACCTTGTCCGAGTCCAGGTCGGGGTCGGCCTGGCAGAGGCGGAAGAGGAAGGACTTAGGGTCCCTGCAGAGCGTCTGTCGAGTGGTCAAGAAGCAGGTGCCCCCCACGTTCAGCCTCACCCACTTGCCGGGCCCCGCGCCAGGGAGCGGCGCCGAGCTACACCGACGGCAGGGCCCGCCCGCGCTGAGGCCGCCAGCCGGGGGCACCGGGAACTCACAGTGGTTCTCCGCCGCCATCCTCGCCACCGCCGGAAGGGGCCGCCCCGGCTGCCTGGCCCCCGGCGCACCGCCCACCGGAAGCGCCGGTTGGAACAGGGCCCTGCCCCTTCTCGGCCGCGGCCGCGGCGGCTCCGGCTGGGGGCCCCGGGAGCAGCGCTCGTGTCGGCGGCAGGGCCGCCGCCGGGCCGGAGGCCACGGGCCTGTCTGTACCCCATGCCCCCCGCCCCACGGCGGAAGGAAGAGGCGGAGGCCGCGCAGAACCCTACATGCCTTTATTACAGACTACCAAGCATAAGTGAAATCCGTCATCCAGTCACTAACTACACATCTACAGCACAGAGATCTGTCGAGAGGAGAATAAACAGTCATTAAATTATGAGATATGATTAAATCATCGACCAATAGAAAATTTATATAATAAAGCCAGAAAAAAGGTGTAAAATATAGTTTACAATAATTATTCACATTCAAGGCTGTACATCAATACATACAACACCATGGCCCCGAACATGAATCAATCCAAATAATTCATATATTAGAATTTAAATAACACAGACTGAACTAGAGGCCAACAAGAGCCAGCAAATAACCTTAGAAGAATAAAAATACAAAAGTGTGTATCATATCATTGCATTATTTGCTTCTGTTTTCACGAGTTCTTGAAGGAGGGGAGATTGTTTTGTGGTTTGTTGAGGGGGGGTCAGGGGTTTTGTTTCTTTGGGGTGAGTTTCTTCTTTCTTTCTGTACATCACAGTTACAGCTACAAACCAGGTAGAGCATATTACACGTGTAACTGACTGCCACCAACCTGAAAACAGCATACAACTATCAAAACTCATTATGGTTCCTGGTTCCTAATTTTTCTCTTTTGTCAGATAGAGTAGTTTTCAGTTCTGCTACCATTGCGAACATTCACCACATCAAGTCAGTTAATACATGGCCATAGGAAGCTTTGTCAAATGGCAATCATCTACATTCATGGCCCAGCTGACAGACAGATTTCTCTCTTGACCAGGGAAAGGACTCGAGGAAACGGTATGAAGCTGAGGCACAGGAGCTTTAAGTTAGGTGTCAGGAAAAGGCTTTTCACTCAGAGGGTGGCCACTGGTGAACACTGGAACAGGCTCCCCAGGAAGCGGTCACACTATCAAGCCTGCCTGAGTTCAAGAAGGTCTCTGGCACATGGTGGGATTGCTGGGGAGTCCTGTGCAGCGCCAGGAGTTGGACTTTATGACCTTGATGGGTCCTTTCCAACTCAGTATATTCTCTTTACTCTAAAACCAAGCTATTGGGTGCTTAAGAACCTCTCCAACTGTTTGTTGCATAATGGTAATTTCTTCTATGAAAGAGGAAACACTCTGAAATTATCAGTCATAAATGAAAGCATGCCATTTTGGATTACAGAACTACTTGTCTGTAAGCTCACTTGATCACCTGATAGACAATCTGCATCATGAGGCTTTGCAGGAGCATTTCCATTTGATTCATAAAATATTTCCATGAAGCATTACAGGCATTCAGCAAAATTTCAGATATAAATACTGCACCTATTTGTGCAATTTACTAGTAGAAAGAATGATCAGAATCCATCCAGAGGCCACATCTTTAGGCAACTATTAATACACAAGTTCTGTCCTCAGCAAGGTGTTGAAATCAAATGTTTTATCCACAGGCCAAATGAAGTAATTGTCTTGACTTTACTAATTCAGAAGAAAAGGTACATGTGGGAAATTCCCATAATTTTTCAAAGTTCCCAGCACAAAAAATAACTGTATCAAGCACATTAATTTAAGCATCTTGAACTATGAAAGCTGATTAGAATAATCACATCTTCGTTTCAATCCACAATTCTTTTCAGACATATATATAGCAGATACTTCACAATTAAATCACATCAGAAGGAGGCAAGTAGAGCACAGTACTGATAATTTGATCTTTTTACCACCTAAGTGCCTAGCAAACAGAATTGTAATAGGCAATATCAGTCTGCTAACAATGCCTCAACATCACATCTCAAGTAACTCTTTCTTAATACAAAACCTTTACAAAACTGGACTTTAAGGCAAACGGTAACAAACTAATTTCTCAGTTTATTAAATTAGTCCTAAATTTCTTGTGACTGGGCATGTACTTCATCCTTTTTTAAGCTCCACACCACAGAAAATGATGGAATAAACCTTTCTGAAGTTCAAATACCAAGCAAACCAAAATTACAACACTATTGGCCAGATTCTTCATAAATGATCAACAATTGTTGAAATTTCAAGAGATGGTATGAATCAACAGATTTGGTTTTCAGTAGGTCTGCAGTAAGGAAAAATCTTAAGGAGAGTCTTCAAGTACCTAATTTTTTTTTTTTTCTCCTTTGAACACCTTGGATTAAAAGCAGAAAAATCACCTGGCCTATGTGCAGCTCCGAAGAACCTCCTTTGCACATTTCATTCCATGAACTCCCATGAACCACAGGAGTGATCTTCAGGACAAAGACCTGATTCTATGCCACACCAGGTATAAGCATTTAAAATGGGTACCAGCCCTTCATAGTATGCAGCACCTTTCAACACACATTTAAGTGGACAAACTGGCAAAACATACTTGAATCCACAATTGCTTTGTGATGCCTCACTCTATACTCTTGCCACCTTTCAAACCCACAGATTCTACAGATAGTCCAAGAAATAGAAATACCTCTCCCAGGAAAGTTCTAGTTCCTTCCCAAAAAAGCAGTAGCTAAGTAAGACTGGATTAGGAGTACTGAAGCTCTAAGTGGAGTGATGCCTGTAAGAGATGCTTACAGTTTTCCAATAACAGCATTGTCAAATATTAAAAAAAAAGGACTTCTAGAATGCAGACATCAGCCTTCCACGTACCTTCTTGACAGCTTACTGCTACCAAGATCTACAAGGCTGGCTGAAAGCTTTTGGTGGGCATGATGAAAGCCTACTGAGAGAAGATTTTCAAGGTGTGAAAAACCACAATTAATTTGCTATGGTAAAATGATTAAAAATCTAAATATTACAGAAAACATGTTAAAGCACACCTAGATCTCTACCTAGTTAACAAGCCAATGGAGGTCATTTTGCCAGACATTTTATGTGAGGCCAAGTTTTATCACACTGAACAGCAGTGGCACTGTGAATCTCCATCACTGCCAAACTCCTGTATGAAGTTGGGAATATGTCTGTCCAGATCTCAATACCAGAGACTAAATCCAAAAGTGGTAGGGTTGTCTCCAGTGGACACAATGCGTGGCCGGAATTTGACAGCTGGAGAACAAATGGATAGCACTGCAACAGACTTAAAATACATGTCATCTTGGTTAGAACGGCACATATAGCTTACTACAAACACAGATCAAAGGTACAGTGTGCTATTCAAATTTGAGCAACAAGGAGTATACTTTGTACGTGATGGGATTTCTCATGATGCAAAGGGGAACATTTTTCTGTCTTCCTCAGCCATTTACATTTAACACCAGACACAGTAAGCCAGGGATTTACTCGTCTCAGGTTTCCATATGTGGTGGGATACAGACGACTACAGGAATGCAGCTGCACCAAAAGAAAAGGCAACTGCACTGTCTCTTCTAAAGACGGGAAAAGCTGAACTGCCATCAAGTTCAACCACATAACGCAGTTTTTAAGAGATCGATAATAAATCTCCTTCACCCTGTACAAGAAGATATTCAACATTCACATAATTTCAGAGAAATCTGATAAGCCATTGTTCTTAAACTACTGCTTCTAGAGAACAGTAGCCTATGAGTTTTTTCAACATTGCAGAGAAACCTTTCTTTGGAGGAAGGAAAAGCACATCATAGTATGACAATTCAAAATGTAAAGTAATGGTATATGTAATGAGTGAATAAATAGGTGTGATGATTATACTGCTTTTAAAACAAGGAAGGAATGCCTTTGTCCAGACCTAGGTCATTCTCCTCTGCAAGATTTAGGAACACAAGCATGTAGAAAATACCACTGGGGAAGTTTTTTTTTTAGCACATAAGAAGTTGTGTTTTTGTAACATGACAAGAAATGTTTGACCACAAAAAACAGCCATAATTTGAAGAGGATAAAGGAGATCAATATGAAAAATATTTTCATTTTATAGATATGCTTTAAGTACCATATATTTTCCCCTTTGTATCAATATTTGCCTTTGATTTTTCTCATCATATTACTTTATTATCTGTATTTCAATTCCTTACATTTTTTTCCAGAGTTCCTGAATGTTTGGCCAAGGACCAAAAATAGAATTGACATCTCATTACACAATGAGACCAAAAAAAATTGCCAAGTAATCAATTGTACAACATTTTCACACTTCCTTCTCTACCCAAGAAAATAGGTTGGCCCCACTAAAATGCACAACACATGCACACCCTGGAAAGAAAGCTTCCAGCCCTCATCTGCTGAAAAGGTGAAAAACTATCTACTATTTCAATAGTAGCCTTTTCTCCCCCATACTAACTAGTTTCTCTTTTAGTTAGCATTAGTTAAAAGCATGCTGGTAAGTTTATTGTCCCTTGATTAAACACACATATGACTTATATTAAAATTTAAACTTAATGTTTAAAATGCTTCAGAAGCCAACATTTCAATTTTAGAAATTTCAGTGCTATGTTCAGCATTTTACTCTCTCAAAAGCTTTATCACTGGAGCCTGTCTGCCAGACAAATACATCTGATTCATTCACATAATTACTATAGTACCACACAAATCCTGCAACCAGAACAATGTTAGGAATTACACAAGGGTGCAACCAACCTGGCTACAAATGCCACATACCAATAAGCTGGGGGACTGTGAGGAAAGGAAGAGGAAACAAAGAGGTGGTACTTAGGAGAGGCATATAAAAGCTCCCTGATGAAACACAGTTTAATGATAATCTGAGAGTCACAGAAAACTCCAGCCCCATAAAATGCAAGGCTGGTACATGATTCGGCGTGTGTGCGTGTGGGTTGGTTTTAACTCATCTTAAGTGAAGCTGGTAATGCAAGGTCTATCCACTAGTCTGCAGCAGAAACAGAACTGAAGTGCACAAAAGCAAGATCTTCACAGCAATGATATGCATGTGGAAGCCTCAACAGAAGCACAAAGAGCGAGCAAAGCAACCCTGAATTCCACTAGGTTTTTGCTTTTCTTCCTTTTTTTCTCTTCTTAAAAAAAAAAAAAAACCAAAAAAAAAAAACAAAAAAAAAAAAAAAAAAAAAAATTCAAAAAACCCCCAAAAATCCACACAAACAAACAACCATAAAAACCCCAAAAAACAAAACAAAAAAAAACGCCAAACAAACAAAAGAAGAAAACCAAAAAACCAAAACCAAAAACTAAAGCAAAAAAAAACCATAAAAAAAACCCCAAGAACATTTCAGACGTATGCTTCCCCTTGAGATGGTAATAGGTGGGTTGAAAAGATTCCTCTGATCGGCTGCACACGGAGTTCTAGCAGCAAGTAGGGAAACTGGGAAATTTTGGATGAGCTTTACTATTTTGCAGCATTCTGGTGGTATCTGTGCCGCCAAACTTCATGTATCTTTTTGCACCATTTATGAGCATTCCCACTTGGGTCCATCAGGTAATATGTCCTGTTTGGCTATAAGTGAACAACATTTTAATGATTACTCCAAACATAGTTTAACCAAAAAACAGTAGTAATTCTGCACCTACCAATAAAAAAATTATTCACAATTAGCTCATTAACTTTCTGAAAGTTAAATTCAATTACAGCTATATAACATTATATATTACTGATTAACCATACATCTGGCACCTGAATATTTTTAAGCAGTCAACTGACAATATATTATACACATCTCATGATTCACTACATACAAGGAGGGCTAAATGTAAATGGGCTAAATCTAAATGTTAAGTCATTAAGAACATCCTTCAAAGCACAAAATCCACTTATGGTTAATTTAAACACTAATAATAAAAATACAGTAGCATTTTTATGATAAATGTGTATGTCAGAGTGATTTTGTGTGATTTTTGTTTTATTATTATTCAACTTTGTTTGGGGGTGTGGATTTTGTGCATTTTTTTTTTTGTTGATTGACTTTGTTCAGGTATTTGTTTAGTTTTGTTTTAAATTAGGACTATGAAATTTTGTGTCTAAGCAATTATACTTTCTCCAGAAAAATCTTTTTGACAACTTACAGAAATTGGCCAAGGACCTTAGAGCAATTTACAAAGAAAATTCAGAAAATAAACTCACCGTGTGAACAAAAAATGTCTTAAAATTCTTGGCTTCTGGACGCAACTCTAAAGACCATGGAATTTCTCCTTTTAGAACTTTGTTGACAGGATCCACATAATACAGGTGGGGTCCCTCCGTAAGCAGCAATTGGCGCCGACGTGCAAACAATCCCTAACAAGAGAAGTAGAAGTAGCAATGCAAAAACAAAACAAAAAAAAAAAAAAAAAGAAAAAGAAAAAGAAAAAACCCCCAGCAAAATCCATGAGGGAATTAAAAATGTAAATTTACACATCACTGAACTGACCAACAGAGGCAGGATAAAACCAGCTCAGTGCTAGGATGGTATATTTGGGTTTGGGGGGTGGGGGGGGGGGAATCTTTAATTTTACTTTACCTATTTGACCTCATACTTTTTTTAGGGTGTTGCAGTGCATTATTCTACTACGTGGGGAAAAACAATTACTATTTTAGGAAAGTATCTTCAAGTTCTAGCAAAACCTAAAACATCTAGCAGCACAGAGCGAAGCAGAATCTATTTCTCAAAGAAATCAATAATCATGGTTTTGTAAAGACTACAACAAAGCAGGTAGCAACTTAGATGAAAGAGAACCTTATTTCTGCTAAAGCTGATGCAGACTATCCTTGCTTATATGTAAACTGCTGAAATTAACACTTAAAGCTGTTCTAAGATCACCTCTGCCTCTTTCACGACAAGGGCACAAAGTCATATTCAGGAAAAAAGCACAGTTGAGAATAACATTGGTAATTTTTTGGTATTTTTGGTTCAAACCACATTCAGACGTGCATCAAGAAAGTGTTTATTAGATTATATCGCATTGGGAGGAGGAGGACAACCAAATCTCATTTACTACAATCTCAAAATGAAAGCATCAATAGCAGATTTACTTAGGCTTTTCCAAGAAATCAAGAGCACATGACTAAATCAAGAAAAAATCCAATCTACTCACAAGAAAACACTGAATTTTTAAAAATAACTTGTTTATAGGTGACAAATTGTTTAAACAAGGAAGCTTTAAAGCAGGCTGCTTATCTATGCTGGAGCTGTGCAAAAATTTGACAGCTCAATCTTGTTACAGGAAATTAAGAAAAGCCCTTACCTTTCTTTTGTCCACTGGACCCATTTTTAGGATTAAGTTATTTTCTACAAACTGATGCCTTAGAAAAAGAAAAATAACTATTACTCCAGAAGTAATTCTTTCACAGAAACAGCTATAATGATCAAGTCGTTTTTCATGTCATTCCCTAGCATGTCCTTTTCCACGAGAGTTGTGAACAACTTTAGTAGTATGTGAGTTTTGGACTCTTCCTTAGCCCAGACCAGTGAGTTTTTTCTAAAATTTTTCTAAAATTTCTAAAATTCTAAAACCGACCAAACAAAACCAAAACCAAACAGAAGAACCCAAACCAAACAAAACCAACAAAACAAACAAACAAAAAACAACAACAACAAAAATTAACAAAAGCAAACAAAACAGGAACAAAAAATAAACAAGAAAACTGTAAACAAACCAACCAACCAAAAAAAACCCCCTCAGCACACCTCTCTCCACCCCCCAAGGAGCAACAATGACAAAAGTTCACACATGAGAGACTTCTCTAAAGAGTGAAAAGAAATGCTGTTACATAGTCTGGAGGTATTTTGGTTAGATACCCACAGAATATTATCATGCAAAAAGTTCCAACAACTTTTGGCATCTGTAGAAAAGGAGGAATCTTTTCTAATTCTAGGACTGTAGTGCAAAGACTCTGGAAGCATTGGATAGCATCATTCTGCCTATCTTATAAATACACTCCACATCATTTTCTATACCTTGTAAATTTTAGAAATATAATATTAGTGTTTTGCTGCTATTGCTTTAAAAATAGAAGCCAAGAAAAATATAGTTGCTAATTGTTTACTTGAAAATACTAAGATTGACAAATATGAATTTGAATCAAAATCACTTATTTTCCAGGATTCTTTATTGCTGGGCAAGTTATTTAGCTACATTCAAAGATCCTACCAAGGATTTCCACCAGCTTGTTTTGCCAGAAGTAACCTCTTTTCGTCTTCAGAAAACTGTAAATCCAGCTCAAAGGAATTGTTGTCAAGATCATGAATATACTGTTCAATATTTCCTCCTGATGTCTGTGGTGTACTTGTCTCTGCAGCAGACAGTGAATGGGAAGAGGCAGAACTAGAAACTTGCATGCAACCGAACTGACTCAGGAGATTGTCATACTAAAGGAGGAAACAAAATGAAGTAATTAAATGTCTTTTATTAAAAAGCTTATTTTGCACTAAACTGTGCCTTTTAATTTAAGCATGTTTTAGTTTATTTTGCTTTTGGTCCAAACCCCAGCCTATTCCCTATAGATCAGCAAGCATCTATGCAAAAAAGTATGACTGATCAAAAAGCAAGCCTTGCTTTTTCAAAATACTCACTTGATCAGAAAACAAATGCTGATTTAAGTAAAAATTTAACCAGCAATATTGATTACATTCTTAATAATTAAAATCTTAATTAAAATATAACTAATCCATAGTTTCAGTAAAAACATTTATATTAGTATTTATATTATTAATTTATATTAATATTCAATATTTATGCTATAATGGAAGTCTCAGGCAGCATCAGAGCTGAATACAGCAGTAGACAAACATACATTTCCATAACAGTCTTCATCATCCTCTGACATAGCAGGTAAATACGCTGTAAGTTTAGGGGGTGTCTGAAGATGCAGGTTCTCCCACACAATGGATTCGAAGAAGGGGTGAGCCTTAAGAGGTCCATATCCTCCCATTTCTTCACAACCTAATCGGCTGGTAGCATCTAGAACCTAAACAAATTAAAATTAAGCTGCATAAAATAATGACTAAGGGCAAGCATTATTCATCACATTTGCAAAGCACCATGTGAAAACGTAAAACCAGTTTGTCCTCCTGCCCTAAGCACACGTATCTATAAGGAGGTTGTTTATAATAAAAGACTTTGTCAGTATGTCTTGTCAACAACATTTTGTATTAGATCAGCTCATAGATCTAAGGACAGGAGCACTTCTTTAGGTCAACACAATTTTTTGGCTTTGCTTCTTCATAAAGACTGAAGAAAACATACAGAGAAGGCCTGAGGAAGCACACCTCATTTTAAGTTTAGTCCACCTCACATTCTAGTGATGCAAGAAGCTGTGGAAACTACAGTTGTTGTTAAACATCAGCCTCTCAAGCACCTCAAAATGACACAGTTCTCAGGATACAACCAGGTTAATACAGTCTGGACTTCACCATTCAGGAGACGCTGTTGTGGCCATAGAACTGGTCTTGGACACAGGAACGCGCTAACAGGCCTTTTCGGTTGTATTTATCATCATCCACAAAGGTTAGTGTTTCCTCCCCATCCCCCGCTAATATGATAGATTATTGAACTTAAAAAAGCTTGTAACACCTAAAATATTTTCTGCTTATTCACTTATTCATATTATCATGACTGTAATCTCAGTGATGGAACATAACTACTTTTTCTTCCTACTTGTCAAACTTTCACAGGCACAGTAATTCTTAGGCTGATACTATTGAAACATGTTAAGTGCATGCTAAAATGCAAGGCAACTGGATTTATATTGTAATGAATATATCTGCCTGTGATGTACAGGATGCTGTTTTCAACTAAATGATCCCTTATACAACTCAAAACCAATTAATCTGAGAACTGTGTAAGCCTAAGTATTTGAATCTTAATTTGTTTGTAATGCACAGTACCTAGAATTGTTTGCTTCCATTTAATAGAAAGACATTCCTCATCCTTCTAACAATTCTTTTTAGAATTCACATAAAAAAAAGTGCTGTTTAATAACAGATGTCAATTTTCAAGACAGTCCCCTACACAGTTAATAATGCTCACAGATGTTCATATTATAAGATTTACAAGAGTGCATAGAAACTTTCAGAAAAGAGAACTACATAAGCTGAATGTTTTCCAATGTCATCAAACCACTTAATGACAAATCAATTTCAGTTATACCTTTTGGTTCAAGAAGTTAGGCATTTGGGCACTTGGTCAGTTATTACAAAAAAACAAACAAAAAAAAAAAACCAAAACAATCAAGACAAGCATACTACATTCAAGAAGAAAAGCACAAATATTTACCAACAGCTTTTCCACAAGGTCTTTTGCCTTAGGAAAAAATTTTTCTGGGAAGTCATATTCCAACTTTATTATCTTCTGGAATATAAGATATTCATTTCTGCAGAAGAGAAAAAATATTAACTCTTGTTATTAGTCCTCCACAGTTCTTTCACCTTACCCTGAATAAACCAGACAAATATTAAACAAAAAATCTACAAGTTCAGTTATGTTCCCATAAATCTTCCTAGTGTGAAGGGGTACTATGATCCTGTAAGCACCAGATACTTGAGCAATAACAACAGAAGCTCAAATGACTTAACAGAGAGTGTTGAGGATGTGCCTTATAAACCTCTTCACATACAGTCATACAGTTATATAGTTACCATCATGGCACAAATTAGATGTGAAATTCTTGGATAGTTTAAGCCATCTCTCTCTCAGGAGCTCTAGTTATTGCGGTCTAAGCAACTTCATGACATCAAAAAGGACAAATAAAAGCAGGCATGACATTAATACCAGCTCTGCATAATGAAAATACTTCAGAACTGGCAGTAAGGTAAAAATCCAATCAGAGGCAATATATTTATGATCCACATGTAAATAATTAGCTCAAATCTCTTACCCAGCTCTAAATGGAGGCAATCCAGCTACAAGTTGATATATTATGCATCCCAGAGCCCAGAGGTCAGAGCTTCAAAACAAAGAGGAAAAAACATAGAATCTTTTTTGTAAAAGAAATCTTTAAAATGAAATCTAAAAAGAAAAATTCTTAACCTTCTGCTACTTAAAACATAACATGAACCCAGTGGACAAACCTGCTTTGAATATTTTCCACACTATTTTTACTTCAGCCCTTGAAAGAAGAGTAGGCTAGCAACACAACTTAAAAGAAAAAACTGTAGAGTAACAGTCCCACAAAACCTGACTCCAAGCATAGAAGGAGCAAATGGAAGACAGGTAAATTCTCAGTCAAAATAATGGGTAAGTAATGACTTTGAAAAGAATGCTGACTATCCACATGATGATTCAAAGATTCATCCAACTTAATTCAATATATGGCCCTTCAGAGTTAAAATATTTTCCTCTAAATATTTGATTAAAAAAAGAGAATATATTACAATACAGTTTTTTACCTTTTCACCTAAAGCTTTTCTTAAGACTCAAACAAAAATACATGCTATAATGGTGAGGGAAAAAGGGTGACTTTCTAGTGTGGTGGGTAAAGGACAGTTAAGCTTTAGCGTGTTGACCTGAAAGAACACTTTCAACTTATTTTACCTCAAGGTTAGCTACCCACAGATTTGATTAATCAAATCCTCAATGGAAGACTAAAATACTAACAAATACTTAAAACTACTCAAAATAAGAGTTTTTTAATACAGGTGAAGCATTATGCAACTTCTAAAAGGAGATGATATTCTAATTAAGTCTTTCCATTAGCCAAAATAGTCAAAAACTCTTCACTAAAAGAAGATGTGAAAAGTCTGATAGTATCTCTATCAGTTCAAGAAACGCTAGCACAAATTACTACACCTATTCACATAAATGATCCAATTAACCTGTCATTTGTCAGCAACTAGCTTACTCTTCCATCATTGCAATAAAATAATATACACATTCAGTGGCATACCATCAATAAGCAATTTTAATTAGTTCAGAAATTTCTTAAGGGCATCACTCATACCCTTGAGATGACTTTTAAAATGTTGCAAATCCTAAGTACAGTTTGGGAAAGATAACTGCAAGTTGATCTAAATACAAGTCAAAGAAAGCTGCAGCCTTCTCCTTAACTGAACAGCATGAGATATTCTGTTGTTCCTACAGCAGGAAATACCATATTTGAGCAATCTTATATAAAATGGAATTAAAACAATTGTATTACTTGGATAACAGATTCTTCTGATTTATTTATGGGTGAGAAATCCAACTTCACCTTACATAACTCCTTCTCCAACAACATCTAATCCTGTTAGTAGAACTCAAAAAAAGTAGATAAACTGAGGAAACCAGCCCTCAGACAAGAAGCAATACTTAATAAGAAAAAAAATTTCAAACTCTGTTAAAATACTCAAGCATCTTGTTTCTTTAAAATGCTAAGCTTGCTTGCTTGATTTATCCACTCCTCCCCATTTGACGGTTTCCTGACAGAGTCAGTAAAGTTCTGGAATATAGAGCCCTCACCTTTTACAGGCAGATTTCTCTGTCAGCAGTTCTGGAGAAACATACTGTGCTGTTCCTACAAATGAGTTTGCCCGGGCTGTTAAGGAAATAGAAAGAAATAAGCAAACACATACTTATGCATAAGCCAATATTCCCCTTCCTCACCTATCACCACCCAGTTTAAAAAAAAAAAAAAAAAAAACAAAACCCAAAAGGCAACCCACTGGAAGTTACATAATGCTGCAAAGAATCCATGAGAATTTAACTTCTCTACCTATCCACAAAACCTGCCTGAAGAAACAAATCAATCTCAGTGACACCCGTTTGGTTCAAGAAGCTAGGCATTTAACTATTTAGTTATAATATCTACCAGCACAAGTTTGCTACAGTTAAGAAAAAAGTGTCAATTGAATTCAGTTCAGCCTAGTGCTTTTTTTCAGGCATTGTTTGCAGCATCTATTTAGAGGCAATTAGTAACAACTGCAGATACATTAATTCTACAACCTTCACATTTGTGTAATTCTTTCAGCCACTGGAGTTAAACACATAAGCAGAGATAAAACTTACTGTATCAGGTGAGCCATGGTACCTGTTTGTTTGTATTCTTGTCTTACACATGCAACCTGAAGTAGTTCAACTTCCCAGTCTATTTGGTAATCTAGCTGGTGTTCCACTACACCAAATGCTACCTCCTCTGATACAATCTAAGTAGTGACAGTCAAAACTGTTTTGAGATCTTTTAGTGATTTAGATGAGGTAATGACACTGGAAGGTTACAATCTTGGCAAATACAACACATGTACATTTCAAAGGATCACTTGCTATAATTATTGGTGTCACATAATGAATAATGGCAAACCTTGTCTGCTATCTGCAGATAATACTTTTGCTGTTCCGAAGTCTGTTATTTGAATGTGCATATCTTCATTTAATAAGATGTTCTCTGGCTTAAGGTCCCTGGAAAAGACAGATTTTTATATTCAAACAGCACACAAATTAAAGTTGAAAAACTATCTTGTGACTTAGGTACATAATGCTATAATAAATGATGCAGACATTCTATAAACATTGTTACAACGACTCCTCTAACATGCAGCTGTCAACCTGCAGACTACCAAATTTTGTTAAATCCATTAACTTTTTTTTTAAACATCACATAAATAATAATCTCAAAACTACGCTACTGTGTGTGTCACATGTTCAAAAATTTATAAACCAAAACAAACAAAAAACCCAAACAAATCCCAACAATAACCCCACCTCACAAACACACACACAAAACCCTAAGCCCCTTCACTCCAAAGCCTTAATTTACATAACATCTGACAGATTGATATGGCATTAAGATTTTCTATGTCTGTTTCCTCACTGCAAAACTCCAGTTAGTCAAACAGTGGCAAACCCAGCCCCAGCTAATGTCCTGACCAGGTAAGAACCATGGATCACCTCCATGCATAATCTGCATTTCAAATGCATGCCTACCATTTGCATAGACACAGCCTCTGATTCGGAATAAAACCAGACTTCACAGTATCACAAACACGATAGCAATAAAGAGTTAGATGTCAAGAGGTGCATTAGAAACAACTTAAGAGCATTCAGTTACACTGATATGATATGCCTTTGCATCAAGTTTCCTTAGCTGATCCAAAAAAACCTACATACTTCCCTCCTAAGCAGAATCTTTGAATGCTCATAAAGAAATCTAGGAGCATGGGAGTTATTTTGTTTGACTGGCAAGAAAAAAACAGTAAAAACTGTTTCTGTCAATCACTGTGCAGCACTATTTTCCTCAGATTAAAGCCCCCTACTATGGAAGAGTATGAGTTGTACAGTTTAAAGTCTAGAAACTACCACAGAGAGCAACAAGCCATAAAAACCCTGTTGATTTTCCTGTGCCTGTCCTACGAGAGAAGTAGAAAGTACGTGAATGGAATGGACCCTTTTAACAGTTTTGTGTAGGGCTTTAAGATACGTATGCATGTAGATACATTGTACTCTACACACAATTCATATATACTGTTTATATAATATATCCTATACCTACATTAATACTGGATTATGGATTTATAGCTATATATCTAAATACATAGAGAGGTATCTGTAATAAATTTTCCAGGGTAGCCTGACATCTTAAAGTGGTTCTATGTCATGTCCTATTTCTTCAGGCAGCAAAAAATCCCAAGAGTTTTCAGGCATTGCTAGAGCTGTGTCCTCATAAACTTCATACTAAGTTCTCCAATTGCACAATTTTACTGTTTTCTTGTGAGCTCCTCGTAGGGTCCTTCATATAAAAACAAGTACAAAGCAGCTCTTCTCCAGTAGGAGGTTTCCAATATAGGCTTAGTAACACTGACAATCATGCCACATTCATTTTATAAGCATCCTCTCAGCATAAACACTGTACAATTGGGGGTTCTTGAACTTTCCCCCTGCCCCTATAGAATATATTATGTTTTCAGTGTGCTACACATCCATACCCCTTAAATTCAAATTCAAATTATTCCACAAAAACTTGTATTTAAACAGAAAAACTGTTTTTGTAATAACAAAGAAATAATGCTATCAGAATTATAATCAGTCAGCTTTTTGCCAACTAGCATCTAGTGTCCCATGACAACGGCTTGGTAACCAAAACACAATAGATTTCTTACCCAAAAAGAAGTTCTGCAGCTCAGATGTTCAGCACTTAAAGCTTTATTTAATAAATATGAATAACAAAACATGACTATCCAAACAATATATTACATCAAGAACAAATTCGAAAGTACTACTTAAAACTTCACTAATTTCACCACTTACCTAATTATTGTGCACCTTTGTGGAATTTGTTTACTCAGTGAAAACTGATATAGATTAATTTTACTTGATTATATAGTACACATTAAGCCACACACAAAAAGAATTCTAGTTACTTTTGCTACATAACAGCACAGGGAAAAAAGTAGTTACACAAAAAGTAATTTTCTGGTTTTCAGGCCAACTGATGAAGCTTGAAAGACAAGCTTTTGCTAATGTTAATTCAAGGCCAGAAGGTTTTCTTACTTTTTCCTGCTCCAACAGTTGGTATAACAGTGATTGGCTCTCCTCCTCAAGTTTCCCATGTTTAACTACTGATGTTAACTGTGCTAGGGCTGATCAAACACTATTTGTGCTCTTTAGCTTTCCACAAAATCCAGCTTTGCTTTTAGCTTCACAAAGAACATTTTTAGGAAACAACCCACCTCTTACATGATCAACTGCATGTCTGTCTCAACTCTGTATTACCTGTGAATGATTCCTTTGCCATGCAAATACTCCAGGGCTGATACAATTTCAGCAGTATAAAACCTTGTACAGGTCTCATCAAACGAGCCAATTTTGCGTATATACTTTAGCAGCTCTCCATTTTTGGCATAGCTAAGTCCAAAATCTGAATGTAACTTAGTTAAGGTTTATCTCTAAGCCACTCTAAAACAAAAATGTCCACAATCTTGTTCCAAAGAGAAGAATACTACTAAAAATACATGAACAGGGAAGTTAGTTAATTTGAAACTTTACAAATAGCAAGCCCAGGCAATTTCTTAAATATATCAACAACTCAGGACATGGGTCCAAATTTCTTAGCACAGCAAAAACTACATAAAGGGTTAACTTCAAAGTTTTTCCAGAGAGTGACTTGGATAATTCATTTAAATGACATACAAAATTGTCCTCAGAGTTGTTTACAGTAATAACTGATAGAAGTTAAAAATTGTCGCATCACCTGGAAAGTACCACAGCAAGTGTTTACCATACAAAAGAGGCCCTCTGAGCTCATACTGCATGATATGTAGGGCTTGCCAGCACTATTAGCAGCCTTTGGGAAAAACAGAAAACTACTTACTGACCCCAGAAATAGACTGATTTATACCTTTACACTTGGCACAGCCAAGTCCAAGCAGAAGGTTCAAGAGGAAATTCACATAATTAACATTTTCTTTGCAAAAAAAAAAAAAGAAAAAAGAAAAAAAAAAGCCAACTGCCAAGCAATGAGCTTCCAGGATGAACCTGCACTTCGCAAGTGCAGTGGAGAGAGCTGGGAAAACACCAGCTCAAACAGAGGATTCACATTATTCTATAAGCACCTTCATCTTTACATAAAAATTGTAATAATAGCTCTAATTGTAGAAATGAAACTAGTAGGAAATATTAGCTGGCTACCCCTATTTTAAATACAGGAATTACTGTGTTTTACTACAGACAGACAGATGGATATACACAGACACATATAAACATCAGGAATAAAACACTTCTGGAACACTTCTCATTGGATTGTAACAAGTCACTCTTCAACATTTCCCACATGGATAATTTGTTTAATTGCTCACCCATGTCTCACAACACACTTAATCTTCTCTTTGAGAGGATCCACTCATTCAATCTGCTTAATTTCTGTTAAAAGCATGACTACAAAAATTGCATCACATACATGAGGATATTTTAAATAGCTCAAGTTACCTCCATCATTTTCATTAGACCATTTTTCAAGGAATCAAAACTGGGCATTGTTATTACTCTTAAGAAAGTGTTACAGCAAGTTTTAATATGCAAAGGATACATAGCTTTTCATCATCTTGAAAGGTGAAGTAGAGTTTCACAAAAAAAGGGTGATCCAGACGGGACATTACATCTCTCTCTCGTGTCACATATGGTACCTTGTTTTCTTTTATGATATGACGTTTTTCTAGAATTTTAACTTAATGAAAAAAAGAGAGTAAAAATGAAAGAGGTACCAGTAAATGAAGCCCATCTTGCTTTGGAGTTTTTTTGGTTATATTTCATTAACATAAAACCACTAATTCTGTTCCTTCAACAGGTGTTTTGTAACTGGACTACACTGATACTGTATTTTCAAAAAATTCATGTTAAAGGAATCAATACTTACTGGCATATTCTCTAGAACTTGCCAATTCTCGAGCCAAGACAACCTGTTGCCAGAGGAAAGAAAACATATTGTAACTGGCCACTAAACACATGCACTAACATTGATCTTCCAGTAGGTATTTGGAACACAGCAAAATATTTAAGCATATTATGCTGGCTACAGCAAGACTTCTGCAGAAACTCAGTTCAGCTGACCAATGTTTGTTTTGCCAAAAGACTTACACATCTAACAGTGTAAATACTGAATTTTTTTTTCCAAAAGAATTCTGAAGATTGTAATGTAAGTCATAAATTTTCTTAAAGGGGGAAACAAAAAGCAACAAGTACTCTGAGGAATACTTATAAAAATAATTGTCATAGTACTTTCCTTAATACAGATGGCAAAGATTGAAAGATAAATTTTATCAAATGAGCAAAAGTAAGAAGTGAGACAGAACTTTCAACTCTTTACAGTTTGTTAAGAAAAAGATTTAAATAAAAGGAACAGAATATTTCCAATTAGTAGAAGCAAGGGATGAAATTTCAGGCAAGCAGGTTTACATTTTTAAAGAGAAATGCTTTTGGAGGAACACAACGCTCATTTTCAAGACTGAACTCTATAAAAGGTCATTTTAGAGACAATCTGAAGTCTTCTTGCATGAATGCAACCAATAACCTTGTAACAACAGATGAGTACCGTTCTTTGTTTTTCTCATTTTAAGTTTATATCCATTTCAACACCTTGCTAAAAATCTCAACTTCATACTAATTTTTTTCATCACTGCACCAGGCTTGCCTCTAATCCCTTGCAAAATCAGTTATAACAGAGTACTCCAAAATATTACTACACACACCTGATGCTAAATGTTAGGTATTTAGGAAATCTAAATAAGGCATTTTTTCATATGAAAGAAGTGCATGCAGCTGCACTCTTTAGTACTAGAAAATTGACCTCAGCTCAGTAGTAACAGGCAGCCTTAACTTTCTTTAAAATTTCATCTCCTAAAACCACATTGACATTTACAGCATTTGATCAATGAAAATTTCTACTAGAAATGTTACAAACAACCAGTCTGTTAACATCTGCCTCTCTGCATAAGGAATTTTTGAGATCCTTCTGTGTACACACATAACACTAGATAAGATGTGCAGCTGAATGACAATGTTATGAACTTTTCTAATTTTTGTAGCTAGGTTTCATCAACCATATCTACCATGAAAGCTTCTGAAAGCAGGTCAGTTTAAAAGGCAGTTATTAAATAAAACCCCACATACACAGAGACCAAACTCAGATGGCAGAAGGTATCAGCTGACACAGACGAAAATATATCTTGGCAAATTAAGCTAAAGACTGACTCTCCTCCAGTCCTGCACTGTATCCAACTTTTTACCATTGTATTTCACAGGTATTATCCACATACATTGATATTGAGCAGCTGTGTTCTAAGTACACTGAGCACTTACCTAATAGCAGGAGTACTTTGGTACCCTGAAGCTCCTTCCTCACCAATCAGATCTGAGCATACCATGTATCTTAATTTCCTCTTAACTAATAATCCAGAAAACAACAGTAGATATGCACAAAACGCAAACAGAAAACCCCTCAGAGGTACATACTAATACAATGTCTCTGTTATCAGGGGCCTGAATCTTATCCACCCCATGGGAAGAAGTAATATCAATAAGGAATGTAAATTCTATACAAAGAAATTAGACATTAACTAGATAGCTTAAAAAAAAAAAGCCATAAAACTAACAGAAAACAAAAGCATTCACAGAACATGTAAGTGTGTAAGTTGTATATTCAGACAACAGCAAGGTAAGAAATGTAGTTAAACATCCCAAATCAAAGGAAGGGGAGAGGAAGGTGAGATAGGTAGAGCAGAGAACCCTCAGAGGCTACAGAACAGAAATAACTGTCAACATACCTGGCATACGTCATGACCAAGCCCCACTCTAAATTTAAACAAATACTTCAGGCTGCTAGAGATTAAATCTGCATTTAAGAACTGGTTTTGGTCAGACAATCATACTTCCTTAGAGCTCCTGTTTTTAAGAAAACCCTCATTTATAGGTGGAGACAAAACCAAGGTGGAATATATATGTACCCACCATACTGAAGGAGGTGAGCTATGCAACATGCCTCCTCAATCATGAGAATTACAATTTTTCCACCAATAACAGATATTATTCTGAAGAAGACTGAAGCTGTCTACAAAGCAAGTAGATTTTCATTAATTTAAAAGTGCAGACCAACAAGTAGAAGGCCATGTATTTGTGTGTTCGTTTATATCAGGCATGGGTCCAAGAAGTTGCAGCTGCAGAAGAAGATCCCACAAAATTGGAGAGTGCTCTGAAGAAAAACCCTGAAGCCACATCATGTGTCTCTCTGTTGAATTTAAAACGCAGCCTTGGCATTAGGAAAGAGCTTGTGGTAGCATAAAAGAAGTCCAAGAAAATGGAATATATTCATTATGACCTTGAAGAAAATATTTCTTTAATCTGAAGCTGTCATTGGATATATGGTAATTTGAGGGCACCTATTTTTTGAGATAAACACTTTTTAGTTACAATATTGATGAGGATCTTGGGGAGTACAGTCAGATCTCTGGGTCTACAACCTTGTTTATTATGAACAAATCATGTTTTTTAACAAGATGTTTTGATGACAACACAAAGATACATGCCCCACAGATCAAATGCTCTGAAGTTGATACTTCAGAGGGCTGCGCTGCCGTCCAGGGAGACAGGTAGCAGAGTGCTGGACAAAGTTAATTCAGAGTCTGGGCTAAGCCCTATGAATTTCTCTACCTACGTAGAACATGGCATTAACTTTCAGAGACCAAAAGCAGAAATGAAAAGTGTACTACTGAAGCAAAGTGTCCTGGTATACCCAAACCACTTTTGGATGCTTTAGGGAAACCTGCAAATTATGCAAACTACGTGTTTGAGCACAAATTACTCTTGGCAAGTACTATAGGCCTGCATACTAAACACTGCAGTAGGCTGTACTGGAAGAACCAGAAAACCCCAACATTTAGAGACCTACAACCAAAAATTGTACACAACAAGTATCATATGAAAAAGATACAGAAATATTATTGTCTTACAACTGGGAAACTACCAAACCATCAAATGAAAGTATTAAATGCTTCATGGATTCATTAAGGTAACACTTAAGTAATTCATTTTTGTGCAATGCTGTGGATGTAAGCAACAAACCATTTAAGGCTACTGAACACAAACATACTAACTGTGACTCACTAAATCCTCAAGGACCAGGGGCTGAGTAAGAATACCAGAGAAGTATCAGTGTTCTTTCTTTTGAAAGCATCTGGCAGTACCTCCTGCCATAGACAGGACATCACATAGTTTTTACCACAAGCTCCTAGAACAGTTCCAATCCTTTATATCAAACTTCTTACATAACCTGTTTTGGCTATCACACTTATATTAGAAAACAATGTTGATTAAACAGCCAAGCATCAAATCGTTAGGATACAAGAGGATTTCTGATCAATTTAAGAGGAGCTTAAAAAAAAATTGCTACCAATATTTAGGATGACAATTTTAATAGTTAAGCTTAAATCCACTAAGTCCTATTCACTTACTCTTCAAGCTGTTCTCTCCATATTTCAATGCCATCAATCTTACACAACAAATTTTCAAGTTTATCTAAGATATCTGTCACTTCTTATAAAAAGTAAAGTTACCGTTGAAAAAGATCCTTCACCAAGAATTTTCCCGAATTTGAAATCATCAGGTCGTTTCTTTCGAGGCTGTGGAGGCTGCTGTCCTGTATGTTGCTGCAAGGAGTTTGAATTAGATCTTGATTCAGGTGCTGTACCCTCCATGTTAGATCCCTGTCTGCTGCCACAAGCGGAAATGACAGGTGGAGTGCTGGAATCTGCTTGGTTCCTCACCATTGAAGGGGATGAACAGGAGCATAACACCACACTTGACTGGATTGGAACAGCATCATACTGAAAAGAGAAAATTAAACTATTATTCCCATACCTGGCATAATTACCATGCACAACCATACTTTATTTCCATACAAGGATCACAAAAAATTCTTTTTTGAAAGGGTTATGATTAAAAATCTCTTTAGGAGGGAATAAAATATTTATGTTGGAAATGGCAACAATTTGATAAATAACTCTTTTTAATTTCAATTTGATAAATAACTCTTTTTAGGTCATGCTGTCATACAGCCATAGGTCAAACATCTGAACACTTTAATTCAAGAATGCTTTTTTTGAACTCAAAAAAATGTTCCGAACGCCAAGTTATCAAATTTCATGGCATCTTCTCCTATGAATAAAATGACCTTAAACTTCTAGTCATACAATAAACACCTGTATGTACCAGTAACATTAGTTCAGAGATACAAGTTACAATGAATTCTGAATGAACACGTGAAAACTTTAATGGAGACAAAGGACACATTCTTATTTTTGTACTCAAAATTTCAATTTCTCTGGTGGTATTTCCCTTTAGTACACATTGGGGAAGGACATAACATAGAAAGGAAGATCAGGTGGAGGGTTTAATAATCAGCAACACCTAAAACTTTTTTTGAAGAATGCTCTGGTTCATGACCTTTTAAAACAAGGGAGATTGCAGTACTTAAATTTTACATATAGCCACATAAAGACAATCTAACTGCAAAACAAAAAGAACAGATATAGCCCAGAAAACAGCAAATACAAGAAGACACACTCCTAAAACTGATAAATGTAATATACACAGCAAATTGTAATTTATCAATTTTTAAGTAAGATCAAGGAACCTTGTGAAGTTGCTTTCTGCCCCTTCTGGCAATACACCACAATTAGTCTGTCAGGGACTGCTTCTGATGTTTTACTTGAAACCGGCCAGAAAACACAAACAGATAGGAGAGCTCTGCTAAGCTACCACTGAACAACAACAAAAAAAAAGTACGTAAACAGAGGAAATATTTAAGAACATTAACACCATTTTTTAAATCTCAGTATTCTAACATACATCCAGCAGAATTAAACTATGACTTAATGAAAATCACCAAATTACCTAATCTCAAAACAGATGTATTGTACAACCATGACAGAGAGACTATAACATACATCATGTTACCAAATTAAAAATTACTTCTCACAAAAAGAATTTTTTTACCTCATGAAATTCAATTCAAAACCATTTTCTGCATTTTTGTCAGAAACCACCTTGGAAGAGAATTGGACTGGCACTCACTCATGCACTCACTAGCACTCACTCTTAAGGAACCTAGCTCCCAAATAAGCGATTCCTCATTTGGCTGTGCTCTGTGCAGTAGAGAAAAGCTGCCTTTATTTACTGCTAAAACTGATACTATTATTATGCATATACACATGTGCTGTAGGTCACAGTTCTTTTTATGCCTTATATACATATATTTTAGACACCTTCTGCAGACTAACTATTGTCCCCAGAATTTTCATACCCCGGATGAATCACCTCTCCTTCAGACAGCTACTCACACAGCAGCATGTCTAAAGATACACACTAGCTAGAATTAAAAACAGATTATACCCTTTCCCATCAAGACTGCAGCAAGACTGACACAAGCATGAGTGCTCAGCAACTGAAGTGATGCCAGTATAAAAACCATCCCATTAAATGAAATACAGTAAATAAAACATACATACACAGACTAAATATCGGGATCTAAATTATGAACTGGCTCCAGTCACAAATGAGGTTTTACAGGTAAATAAAGCAGTAACATTGCAGGAGGAGGGTCTGATTAGATTCTGCAGCTAGCAAGATCACCTTGAAAAAGCAAACAAGCAAGAAGAATATCCATCACAAAAGCATCAGAGCACTGTGAGAAAGGGAGGAAAAGGTGCTGGATGCAGTATGTTTCATTACACAGTAGCTGAAACTAAGTCACAATGAATATCAAGTATAGAAAAATCCTGAGGGAAGAGACAGGAGTAATGGACTTTGTAGGAAAAGGTTATTTTCGGTCAGGGTATAACATCAATTAGTCCCCTGACTTTCGCAAAGGAAAGTCAAGATTAGGAACAAGGAGGACAGAGGAACACGCAATAGATTTAAAAGGATCAGTTACCTAAGAAATTAACTATGCAACTAGGACTACACCTCAACGTTTATGGAAAAATGTAATTCCTACACTCGCCTTTTCACACTCCATATATTCTTCTTTAGTATTTTGTCCTGTATTATTTACCTTCTAAGTTTTATTTTGAAAGGCTCCAAAAACCATGTCTGCAGAAACCAAATATGCCTCTACATATAGGTTTTCACATATGCCTAAAACAGAATACAGGTCAGCTTATCTAATGTAACCCTGTACCATACTCTTGTAAAAATCAGACTTAAGATCCTTCTTCTACCAGATGCAGACATTTTATTAGTGAGATACAAAGTCAGTAACTGAAATTTAAAATGTTCTAAACTGCATCTGCAATTCTCAGAAGCTTGAGGATGCTCTCCTTCTAGCAATTATCAACATTTCTCTGCTGGCAGCCAGTGAAAGCACAGATCCTCACACAGTAACAACAGACTGACCTATTGCATGTCATGTATCACCACAGACCATACTGATAACCACTTATCTAGTAATTCTGTCTCTTTAAAAACTAGTCTCTAACACTACTTTCCCAAACCCTTAAGGGTTCTTTTCATTTACTTTCATATAGAAGTAGTTTCATTCTTAGTATAACATACTTGAATTTGAAAACCTTTCAAGGAAGAAAATAACAAATCTGCTGAATATATGTGGCATTATAGATCAACAGTCATTTCAAAATCTCCATCAAGTAGTTTTCACTAAATAACTAGAAACAGTATTCCTTCTATTTATACATGAAGTAAGTACTAATACTGTTCTTTCCCCCACTAGTCTGCAAACAGTAGAAATAAACTAAGTAAACTGGAATCAATGCAAAAAGCCCACTAGATAGGAAAAATGTGATCCTTTCTTCCCCACCACCCAAAAGGACTCATACCTTTTCCCTCTGCAATTCAGCATTTTGACAACTGCACTATCACTACAACTATTAATGTATTTATATGCATCAAACACATACCACACTTCTCTAAAGCAACTACAACCACAACTGCATCTCCACTAGCTTTTTCCCACCACAAAATCTGCAACATTATTTTCCTGAGACCATTCTATCAACACTGACAGCAGCAAAAAAATACTTTTAGAGACTGAGCTTCTAAAACTTCCAATATCCTTTACTTCTGTACTAAGTGACAGGATGCTGAACACTGAAGATGACTGAGAACATCTTTGGTATTGCTGAAATTCCGCTAGCAAGATCTATTACAAAGAAAATCAGTATGAACAGGATCCTGGCCTCTCAGCTGTCGGATAATAGTGAGTCTGACTGCTGACTATTACAGAATCTCAAGCTGCATTAAGACATAGGGCAGACATGATCATAGAACCTTTTCCATCTAACTACTTATAAAGATAATTTTTTTGGAAGCAGACCTTGGTAACAGAAAGTATTTTTTACACAAAGTAACATGACCTTTAAACCACAACTGGTACATTTGTTTTGATTATAAATAATGCTAATGAGACTATAAGCTAGAAGATTGGCACAACCCAAGATTCTGCTAAAGGCAGTTTAAGTTAGACAGGTTTGGCCTGAGCTGTTTTGTAAACTGTTTTGACCTTGTCATGTAAGCCAAAAGTTCTGAAAGTGAAATTTATTTTTTATTGCTTACAATTTAAACATTGACAACCTAGAGGTTTAAAATGAAAAAACTAAAAGCTAAGCAGTTCTATTTAATATACTCTTTTCATGGCATACTGGTGTTTCAGAGGGTTGACAAAGATGCACCAACTGCATGTGACACACATCTCATATCTGAAAAAGAGCATCAGAAGGAATAAAGGAATAATTAACAGATATTACACACAGCTTTTCCACTGGCCTCCTCACCCCTCATATCCCACAATTAAAATGTTAACCTTCTCTATGTTCCTCAATACCTAGTTGTGACAGTCTCCAGTTCAAAGGTTACTGTGTAACACACCCTGAGAGCTCCAGCATATTCCAAAAGAAAAAGCAGAATGTATGTCCTCAAATTATCATAGTACCTAAAATGAGAATGCAGGCAAAAGCAGTGTAGTTCAGGTACAAGAAACTGAAGATACAAATCCACTGATTCAGAGTAACAAAATCCAACTGAAGGCCTCACATTTCAGTGCAGAGAGCACAGTACAGTTTGCACCAATAAATACCAATCCCATACAGGAGTTGTTTGCAGGAAGTGTAATGATTATTGTGTGACCCTTATCAATATTTAACACCAGTTTTACTTTCATAAATTCTGTTGTTGCACCAGAGTGAAGCACCCTCAATGAAGAAAACCCAGAGCAATAATAGGTAGTGTGCTTTCATAAACTGCAGTAAACATCAGTTCTCAGACCTTATATGCTCATGTCTATTTATGCTCTGGATGTCTGTCTAAAAATGGATTGTCAGACTTTCTGCTAAATGACCAACAGCATCCTCTTTCTATTAACCAATTGTACATGCATCTGCATGGAGAGAAATAATATACTGACTAATGAAAATCCATTGTGTGCCAATTTCTCTTTATATACACTTTGAATATGCTTAGAAGTTTGTCAGATAATCTCAAGAATTCAACAGTACATCTATCTGCCAAGATTATTATTGCCTTTAAGTAATTAAAATACTAGCCTAAAGAGAAAAAAATGTTCACTAGAAAAGGATGCTATCAGTCTGTCTTTTTACTGTAACATAAAATCAAGCATGTAATGAACGGGACAAAAGTCACAGTAAGCCAAGTCTCAGAAGTACTTTGACTGCATCACACAGCTCGTTAACTGTTCACCCACTTAACAGGTTAACTTTGACACCAAAACACATACAGCCATATTAAAACATCACAGTAATTGGGAGGTATTTAAAGACATGTACTCTGCTCACACTTTCAGCTTGACAGAAGT